GGTGGGGGGTGTTCTAGAGAGACTTTTGCACGGTCTGGCCTCAAATCTTGATCCTCCCAAGCAGTTAGCATTACAGATGTGAGCCACCTGTGCCCAGCTTATGCTGGGTCACTACCCTGACTCGCCCGCATTACTGTTTTGTTTTGTTTTAAATTATGTTCCCTCAAACCTGAATCTGGGCACGCCCAAATAAGATTGTTGGCAGTCTCTTTTTAGCAGAGAGGGTCTGAGGAGTGGATTTTATTCATTGATGTTGCCAAATAAAAATCTTTTCCAGTGGCTCTGAAGTGAGCGAGAAAAAATAGGATAAATGCCTGGGTGTCAGAAGAAGGCAGAGGCGAAGAATGACTTACTGGTTAGTTTGTTTTCATTATTCTGGACAAACAGCCTCATCAGGAAATGCCCAGCTTTCACACTGATGGAGTTGTCTGTGCTAAATGAGGTTTATTTTTCAAGTCATTTTGAGAGATGTGAATGACTTACAGTTAGTTTCTACTGAACCACCTGTCTATAGATGTGTATTGAACACAGTTGGTTAAATACAGGTGTTGAAGCATACATTTCAGTTAACCAAAATGAAAATGTGTGTTGCCCTAACTTCATAGTCATCATTTTGTCATGCTCTTAGCTAGTGATTATAATCAAATCTTGTTTTGAGTTTTACTGTGTACTTAAATTATAAATAGGCCCTGTCATTCAAGAATAAATTAGTGTTAGAAGCACTAACTTATGTAAACAAACAAAAAAAAGAAGCTCTTCCACAATTGCTGAATTATGAGATAGTTTATAGTGCTGGGCTTTCTGAAAAGGGGAATCTTCATTTCCATTGTAAGGGCCCCATCTTGTGGATATGGTTTGCTTAAAGAAGAAACCTCAGCATAAGAATTGAGTTGGAGTGGTTTTCAATAGAAAAAATGCAAAGCAGGCTGATGCCTTCCTAAGTTAGAACCATTTATAAAGATACGTTCACAATTATTTCAGTTCTGAAGTAACAGGCTTTTTCTTTTAAAAATACCTGAACTTTAGGTATTTTTAAGGTACACAAAATTTACACGTTATGTTTCTTTTACAATCAGGTGTGTATGAATATTATTGACCATAAGCAAAAGGTGGAAGCCATAATTAAAAACATGAAAACAATTTCTGCAGAGGTGAAGAAGATGAAAGGTAAAATGGAATGACTAAATTAAAACGTTGGCATGTCATTGTTGCAAAACAAATGGTAAGGTTAATTTGTGCATCTGCCAGGGTGTGTTTTTCCCACTAGTTAGGATTTCTGTATTAAGAAATGTTTGCACTACAATATGAACTAGATCTATAATGAATTAGGTTTGAGCATTGACTGGGAATTAGCAGACCTGCATTCCTTTCTCTGACACTTAACAAGCTTACCACGTTGTCTAACCTCTCTAAATCTACCTCTGTTCTTTCCCTTCAATGCACTATTAAATGACTGTCACATTCTACAAACTTCAACATTTGTATCCACAAATCCTTGCTGAGCTCCTAAAGCTCATTCCAAGTTCAGAATTATGTTTGATTCTGTGAGTGAAGGGCTCTTCATATTAGACAGACTCATGGAGTAACGGTAGACCTTAAGACCATAGTGTTTGGTCATCCACCACTCAGATACATTATTTTTTATTCTAGGCATGTAAAATTTCTATGATTATATATTTCTAGAAATAATCTATCCTTGACCAAACATTGCCTGTGTTCAGGAACTCTGTGTCTCATCAGTTAACCCATTTCATTTTAGACTGTTTTTCCTTATGGACTATCTGAAATTGGTTCCCCTATTCCTTTCATCTGTGGGCTCTCTTTCTAACCATGAAAACCACATGGGATGTCTAGCTACTCTTCTTACAACAACTTTTGGATAGTTACAGACAGCTTCTGTGTCAGTTATGAGACTTTCACCTGTAAGTAACAAAATACCAACTTAACATGACCTATACAATAAGGAGGAGCAAGATCTAAAGGAAAGCAGTCTGAAGTTAATTAAGAGGTTTAAAGACTTCATCAAGGACCAGGTTCTGTCTGTCTTTCTGCTGTCTCTTTTTCACTTTATTATGCTCATGGTCAGCACCTTCCAAGGTGGTTGTAACAGACACTCCCTCTACCTAGGTCTCTAGGTGAGCCTTCCTCCAGCACATTTCCCCTTTCCCGTCATTGGCCAGGTTGCTTCACATGGGAATGCCTCCAGCAGCCACTACCAAGGGGAATGGGACTGCCAAGACCATTTTGGACGAGTCAGAACATAGTGCTGGACCTAGGGAGAGCACATCAAATGCAGTCAAGTTCTGCTCCCAAGAAGTGGGGAGTGACTGTTAGCTAGGCATCAAATAGTGAGTGAGCGTTCTGCTTTTTCTGCATTCTCCCCAGGTAGCATTTCCTAGAATTTGATCTGTGAACCCTGTTGTCTCAAGAGATTTTTGGTGTGCAATAAAACAGACTCCATGTTATTCTGGTCAAATAAGTTTGAGAAGTGCTTTATGCTATGTATCTCTCTTACAAATTCACAGTGCCTATTAAAAGGCTCTGAGGAGTCTGACATACACAGATTTGATTAGCTTTGTGTAATTCATCATCTCTCAAAAACAGTCTCAGTGCTGCAATGAAGATTTTCTAAAATGCAAACCTGCTGAAAACCTTCATTAACTAACCTTTATCAGGATAAAGTCCAAAGCTCATAGAGTAGACTTGACAGCCTTTTGCGATGAGGCTCCTGCCTGCTTCTCCAGTCTCATACTTTGCTCTCTGGACAATTTGCATGCCCTTGCATACTCGCTTTTGTGTCTGAGCCTGAACACACATCTGAAATCCCATTACTATAACCATACCAAGTTAACTGCTACTTATTAGTTGAGGCCACTTACACTGGAAAACTTTTTTCTGAGTTGGCATGTTTTCCATTCTACTCTTCCATATCATCTACCTCACTGTTGTAATTGTATGTTTGCTTACTTTTTCTGTCCCTGCTCAACTGTAAGCTCTTTAAGGGTATTCCTAGCGCTTAGCATGGAGATGTAAAGTGTTAGTAGGGCAAAAATAACAAGGTCAGTGAAGGAAGGCCAATACCTCTGGTGTTAGAGAGTTCATACACCATAAATGGGGAGGAAAAAATAACCTGAGAAAACTTCCCAGAGCTGAAGGGCATGGGTATCAGCAATGAAAGATCCCAGCACAATGGAGGAACATATATGCATACCAAGGCACAATATTGTGAATTTTCAGAATACTTGGGAGAACAAAATAAAACAAAAAATCAGTCAAGAGAAGATGGGGATTAAAAATTCGCATCATATGAAACATCTCAATAGCAACACTGGAAGCTGGAAGACAGTGTAGCAATGCCTTTGGAAATCTAAAGAAATAGGATTTCCAACCTCAGTTTCTGTAGTCAGTCAATGTACTAATGGAACATTAGCAAACAGAACATTTTAGATACATAACCCCCTACCCAGAACTTAACTGTTTACTGTATTCTACCAAACAAGGGAGCAGACCAGGAAAGATACACAGGAATTCTGGAAAAAGAGCACTCCACAGAGGTTGAGGTGAAAGAGGAGTCCTTCAGATAATGGTGAAGAACGTTCACTGAACAGGAGTTGCACAGCAGTCCCAGCAAGAAGTCAGTCGAGGACAGAGCAAATCAGAAGGTTCCAGGAGAAGGGAGACTAGCTAGAATAGCTAAGGTATTGAGTGTACAGACTGGAGATTTACTCATCTGGGAAACATTTGGGATATGTTCTTTGTAGGTTCAAACAATGAAAAAAATAAAACAGTTACTAACTGGTTGGAAGGTAGCTTGCAGGAAAGGCATGTCATGCTTACAAGAGAGCTGTGAAAATGATTAAAATCTAAGCATTAAATACGGAGCTAGCAAACACTGTCCTGTAAGTGTATGGGGGGCAGGCAGGAGTAAAAGAGCTACCTTAATCTTCTTTAGTCAGAAATAGCTATAATACTGAAAATCATGCCACTTAGAGTTACAGAGTTAAATAGTAATCCCCCACCCTTCTCCCAAAACAACTAGCAGACACACCTGAAGCAACAAGAACAAGATCAAAATGAGATTTAAGAAAAAGTTGAAAATAGTTCCTGTTTTCAGGAACTGCTAATTTTGGCAACATGTCTTACAGATCTATCTGATTCTTCATACTATGTGCATGTGTAATATAAAAATAAGTTTAAAACCGTAAAATCAAACTTGCATAAATCAAGTCGCAGTGTAGGAAGGTGGATAGCTGACTAGTTGAAATAAGGACCCTCTGTAGTCAACTTTCACATCATGCCTAGGAATTGAAGTCGTAGTGGGGCACATCTAAGTTGTGGTTTGGTCAGTAATCACTTGAAAAACTGAATTAGACATCAGGAAATATCAATAATAGTTGTTTAATACATACATGCTACAACATGTCTTCTGTTGTGTTGTCTTAGAACTCTCCCAGTTGCTGCTTTGTGACCTTACTCTACAATTTACTCAACCTATGAAGGAGGAAGACTTAAACGAGACAGAAACAACAAAGCCCCCTGTTTGAAGAGTCTGAAACACCAGATGTATTCTTTGAATGATAAAAAGAATCTGTAATTCTTTTTATTTATTGCGAATTTCTGTTCTTTTTTTTGTTGAATTAAATATCGGGAGAATTACATTTACTAATATACTTACTAAAAAATAACCTAGAGTTGTAAATATGCATTTCATGTTCTTGAAGTCTATTTTGTTGTTTTAATGTTTCGAAGAGTGACACAGTGGTTTGTGCTCTGTAATCAGAGGTTCTGCCTCTGATCCTAGAGGCAGAGATCACAAGGATTGTGGTTTGAGACCAGCTCTGGCAAAAAATTCACAAGATACCATTTCAACCAATAAAAGCTGGCCAAAGTGGCACACACCTGTCATCCTAGTTATGTGGGAAGTATAAACAGGATCACTGTCCAGGCCAGCCTGGGCATAAACACAAGACCCTATTTGAAAAGCAAAATGGGCTGGTGGCATGACTGAAGTGGTAGAGCACCTGCCTAGCAAATGCAGGGCCCTCAGTTCAAACCCCAGAATAAGCAAAAAAAAAAAGTGACTGGTTTATTTCATTGATGGTGATGGAAAGAATGTATAGGAAATTGGCCATGGGACACTGCTATCTTTTACTTATGTTTGAATTTAGCTTAGGTTGACAAAGAGTTACCAAATTATTAATGGGTCACATGAGTTTAGACTAATCAGAACTCTTCTGGTAGCAAGTACCAGACACAACCAGCTAAAACATGGGTCATGTGACTTGGAAGTCCATAGCTGAAATAGATCTCAGGACTCCAAGAATCTATCTTAGGTCTATTAGTTGTATTTGTGTGAGCTGACCTCAGTCTCTCCTGTCATACATTGGTTCCCTCGATGTGGTAAGTAGGAAGGTAGAAGAGTAGTAGCAGACAGTTACAGGTTACATTGCCTTTTGGCATCCACATTTAATATTTCAGACAGGGACCCTGATGCCTGGATTTGGTAAGGTGTTTATCACAATCCAGGGCTGGAGCAGTGGTGATCAGTACAGCTAGGGTCATAAGGCTTGTGCAAAAGAGGTGCGAGGTTCAGAAGAACGAACAGAGTTGTCAGTGCGTGGAGAGAGAGAACAAGAACCAGTCATGAAAAACACGAGATTCCCACAATAATCAGTGACAGCAATGGAAAAGAACACTTTATCCTAAAACTTCTTAATTTCTGTCCCTTTCAACCAAGACACTTGAAAATAAGCTTCAGTTTGTCTTCTAAACACGATTCACTACCAGAGTGATGTTCATCTTTCAGTCCTAAGCCTTTGTTCTCTGAGATGGGTTGACCTTCCTGTTACACAGAGGGAAGAGAAAGGCTCCTTTGCTGGCCTGGCTTGCTACGGATAGCCTGCGGCATGTGTTAATGTGCACTGGTATCTCGAGCCTCGATTTTTCCCGTCAATGAGCAGGAGTGGCATTTTCCTGAAGTAGTCAATAATGTCTGACACAGACAGAAAGTCCTGGAAAAGTCAAAATAAGAAGGTAAGTAACATTGGAACGGATAGCATGACTATCCCTTTTTTTTTTCCCTCTTTCAATCTGTGTTATTTTGCCTATCCGAGTTACAAAACTTACAACAAATCATAGGTAAAAGATGATTTCTTAACTGCAAATAAGGGATCGCTTACCCCAAATATTCTAATTAGGATGCCCTTGCCTCAGTTTGTCTCTTTGGCTTTGTTTTCTGTATCCCTACTTCACTAGTCAATAGTGTTAGAGGTATAAGGAATCGGGAGGTTAGGCATCATTCTTTCTGCCTAGAGATGGTATTGCTAACATGGTATACCAGTTTCTTCATCTGCTCTCTGTGTGCCCCGCAGTTACCTCCACGCTCAACTCACTCACAAGGGCCCAGTACCTAAGTCTTTGCATCCTGGATCACCCTGTTTCCATTCACCAGACTGGGAGAAGTCCCCATTCATCCTTCAGAAGTCACATGGGGGCTAAGGGAGTGACAAGCAGTAGAGTACTTACAGGAAAGTACTAAGCCCCGAGTTCAAACCCCAGTACTGCAAAAAAAGGTCACATAGGCAGCTCAATGGGATTCTGTACTTCCTCTAAGACCAACTGCTGAGGCACTGCGCTGCAGGGCAGCCGGAGCCAGTGTGTGTTTACACACCAGAGCAGGAGAAACCTTGGAGGGTCTGCATCACTCTGCCTCGAGAGAGCCTATGCAGCCATATCCAGAGTGAGCAAGTGATTCAAATACTTCACTCACTGACATTGGTGTTATTTAAAAGTATCTGGCTTGAAGTCTAAGTTATGGGTGAGTTGTTTCTCACTCTGGATTAATATTTAATTGAGCTGCTCTTCCTCCTGCACTTGAAACTAGAAGAACACGTTTTGGGACATAGTTGTTAGTTTCCTTTGCAAAAGGCAGCCCTGAGGGTTTCTTTCACATCAGTTCTGATTACCACCCAAAAAGTTGACTGGCATGAGAATATAAACCTTGGTCAAACAGGAATGTTTGTTTCACAATTTGGCGATCTTTGCAGAGCCAAAGCTGTGTTTAGTAAGAAACAACCCAGGTGTCATTGCCATGGCACGCGTTCCAGTTCCCTTCTTTCCTAGCTGATATTTTCAACACAGCCTTCTAAGTAGTACAGTGGAATCTTACATGAAAACTACATCACGAGGTCAATAATAGAGACTAGTCTTTGACACCATCTAACTGAATTTTAAAAAATTAAATGCTAACCTACATTTTAAATTTTAAATGCTATGTGAGCATAGGCAGCTAGTTGACATGTGTGTGACCAAGGAAATGCCCGGCTACAAAATTCCATTCTAAAACCCCAGATGGCCTCTGCTTTGCCAGGGATTAAGACAATGGCCCTATATCTTCCTATGGAGCCCCCTCTCTATATGGAGGTTGTGCTTGTGCCTTGAGGGTATAATGAGCACCACAAGAACTTCCACAGGCAGGGATCAACACGGAAGGCCAAAGAGGATCAAATGCACAGGTGCCTGCCCTCATCTTCTCAAAGGAAGGGTGACTTCACACACCTGGGCAGCCATTGCACAGTCATCCTATTTGGGGAGGCCATGGGGCAGGGCTCAGTTTTTGTACCATCGAGTAACCCCATCCTGTTGATAATAAAACCCCAAACCCCGTCAGCTTTGACACACTCAGCCTTAACTTGGACCTTGTGACCTGCCTCACACCTCAAGGTGAACTTTTACTTTGCTACTGAATCATTCCTTGCTATCTTCCCTTGTTATCTTCCTACCCTTTGTGGTGCTTTTGCTGCACCTGGGCCAGCATCCTAATCTTAGATGCTGTACCCAAACAACCAAGAAACACCTGGAACACCCCATCCACCAGTAACAGTTATACCTGTGTTGTTGGATTACTTGGAAATGCAGATAAAAAGAGAAAGCCCCCTCTGGCAGGATTGGTCTCTATTAGGATTATACTTTATTTCCCTCTGGTAAATGAAGGGCTTCACTAATGTGATTTAACTCTAATGTTTCTGGATAGCATGCACTTCCAGAAATGTTAAGTGAGGCCCCATGTCGATGGCAGAAAGGCACAAAAAGAGAATGGGGGGAACATTGAAAGTTGAAGTCCTTACCTCCTTCCCTCGGAGTCCGGTTCCCAGCAAGTAAACTTGACTTTCCTCCTGATAACGGATCTGGATGTTGTAAACTTTATCTTTGTACAACACCATGAGGACATATGGGTTGGTTATTGTTTTTTTAGAGCTGTCTCTAACCAGAAAAGTGCCATCCTAAAAGAGTAAATTCTTGTTGTTAGAGAAGCAATAAAAGTCAATACTTGTGTTGCCTATAAGAGCAGCAGACAAGCCTCTAGGGGTCTGCAAAGCTGTCAGCTGAGTTAACTAATTCAGTTCCCCAACAGCCACAGCCCCTGGTGCCCTGGATTTCTTTGTTATCAAGAGAGGCAGCAGAGATTGTAACAAATTCCCAAGTCAACCTCCTCGAAGCCTCTTGATAAAAATAACAAATCCTTTTCTTTTCAGTAGTAAAACAATAACAGGTGGTTGAGTGTTTAAAGATCCAGGAGAAATAAGGACTACTGTAGTTAATTCAAGACATCATCTTCTTATTTCTGGGAGTTAATTCCCTAACTCTTCCCTTCCAGATCTGCAGTCAGAAAACACCCATTTGCCTATGAAATGTACACTGTTTAAGAACTCATGACTTCTAGATTGAGCTTTTCATCCACCTGAACAAAATTGAATATAGATTGTATTACTATCATCATTTTTTCCTAATACTAAATCAGTGTTATGATTTGTCCTGTACTTTAAATTTTCATTCAATGGATTATTGCAACATAATACCACACAGTAAAAATCTAAAAATAGAGCTAGCTAGTAGGATTCATCTAAACCACTCCCTCTTCTATTCTGAATCAGGAGTGGCTTTTAAATAGCTATCCATCTGCGATAATGGACTTCCTTTGTTCCTTTTATTCCGAGTTAATTGAACCAGTCAGAATATCTGTGTTGAATAAAATATACCTCTGGACTGGCGATTCACAGCCTTGGCCTAGGATCAGAATCACCTGGGGAATCATGACAACTCCCTCAGGCTACAGAGCCTTCCCACTAACTAAAATAGAATCTCTTCAGGTGAGACCCAGGCACCAGGATTTAAAAAAATAAACCTCCCCATCTGATTTAAATGTATGGCTAAGCTTAAAAACTAGTGCTGTGGACTTCAGATGTGAAAGAGGAAAGAGCTCTACTTTTCCAGTTTTGGTAAGGAAATTTAAGGTTTAGGATCAGCAGTAGGCCATGGGGAATCCATTTAAGACTGTAATATTAAAGAACTGGGTAGAAATTTCTAGGAGAAAGGGCAAAAAATTGTTGCTCCCAAAACAGGTCCTTCCCCATAAATGCGGGTGGCAACTGTGGCTAAGAGGAAGAGGGAACAGTAAGATGCAAGTTTGGGGAGCCAAAACTCCTTCTGACACTACATGTATCACTTGTCCAGACAGACATTTCCTTTTGTAAAATCTCCAAGATTCTGTCAGCTAAATGATTGCCTTCATTGAGATATATTTTGCCAGCCAAATGAGTCCAGCATGAGGAATCATTGCTATGGATGCCAGCAGGTGGGAAGGTGGCACTGATGGGTCTCTGAGGAACCACAGTAGGAACTGCTAGTGGATTCCCAGCCCATAACTGAGGCTCCATACCAGCCAGTTCCCTTCTCCCATCGACATATTTTTATGAGTTTATTAGCATGTAATAGTTGTACAGGGGATACACTGATATTTAGCTACGTGTATAAACTACACCTTAGTTGGCTTTACCCCCTCCATCATTCTCCCTCTTCCCCTTCTTAGAACAATGTCAACAGGTTTCATTCTGTTTTCATATATGGATACAAAACACGTCCACCATATTCACCTCATTCCCTCTTTCCTTGTGCCACCACCTTCCACAGGTACCCACCCTGGAAAAGGTTTATTTTTCCCTCATGCCCTCATTTTTTAAATTAAGTGTATGCTCATGATCCAAGGGGGTTCACCAGCACTTCAGGCCAGTATATATTGTGCTTTAATCAAAGTGTTACTCATTCTCTATTACCATGCTCTCCTAATTTTGAACAGATTGCTGTACATTATATATTTTATACTCAAATATGATCCTCAATATTTATAATGACAGTGCTATACCTGGTTTATCTTTCTAAGAGCAGCTTCTGCCTCCGGTCGGGTAATATAAGACACATACCACTCTTTGTCCAATGAGTTCTGCAAATGCAAATTTTTTAAATGAATCAGTCCTGCAGTTACTTGGGAAAGGGAAAAGGAAAGCCCCCGAGTGATAATTTTCATAAATCACCACCTCAATCCCGTAAGGTTTCCAACACTCGTTTTCTTAATGTGAATGGGGTGGAGGAGGATTAACCAGAAGACATTTTCTGTGACCTGATTTTATCACAACACTGGTTGCAAAGGTAGCTGAGAGGAAGCCTTCCTTACATAATGGAATCTCTCCCAGGAAGGATACAAGATAATACTTTCTTCAGTTTCATATGTAGTCATGGCATACTTAACAAAAAATCCACGGTCGTGGAGTGTGGGGAGCAGATTACAGCCTATGAGAACTGGACACCAGCAAGGCGAGATGCAGTTAACTGCTTTTACCTGTGGCCGAGACAGGCTACAGAACAGGGAAAGGCAGAACAGCTGCATCTCCTAAGCTGTGTTCAGAGAAGCAGGAACACAGGTTTCTCCTGTTGCAATGTCACACTCCTCCCTGTGCCTCCACACTGTTTAATGCTATAAAAGACCCTAAAGGAGGAAGAGGGGCTTTTGCTTTTTTGCTTTTGCCTTTTGGGGCTTTACTTTGGGCCTTTTGGTGTGGGAAGCTTTTGGAAGGGAAAAGTTGCTGAAGGGAAAAGAATTGTTGAGGGGAAAATGCTGAAGAGGGGTTGGTAGAAAGTCTGCACCGAGAGCTTTAACATAGGCTTCAGAAAGCAAAGCTGAGAAAGCTCCTCATACACAGCCTTAGGAAAGCTAAAGAAAAGCCAAAGAGAACATGGGGCCGTGCACACTGCAAGTCTAAGGACGGAGACCTTAGGAGTTAGGCATATGCAGGTTGTAGGCACCAGTGATTGCAAGTCTGAGCACTGAGGCTTTGAGAGAGCTAAAGAGAGAGGGGACAGTGCAACCTGGGGGCAAAAGACTTTAAGAGCGATTAGGCTAAAGATAAGCTGAGAGCAAACACAGGACAGCTCAGTTTAAGGAAAAAGGTTTTAAGCAAGGTTTTAAAGAACTGCAAGGAGTAAGGCCTTAAAGAATCAAGATAGAGAACAAGAAGCAATGAGATTTGTGCGTCTCAGGCCAAGCGTACAACACACCTGACCCCGACTTTCTGTCTATCCTGTGTCTTTTGTAAAATCTCCAGTCGCCTCCAGTTAAGCCCAGTTAGGTCCAGTAATAACCAAGAAGCAAGAGCAATAACCTCACTCCAGCAAGGGAGGGAGTGTGAGAAATGGTGCCCCCTTCAGTGGAGCAATGAAAAGACTTCAGCTGGGCACCAGTGGCTCAGACCTATAATCTAGCTACTTGGGAAGTGGTTTGAGGGGAGGAGCAGGAGAAAAGTTCTCAAGATCCTCCTCTCCACCAATGGCTGAGTGTGGGGGCATGGACATCACCCCCGCCCCAGCTACCAGGGAAACTGAAATCAGGAGGATCTTGGCTCAAGGGCAGCTCGGGCAAAAAAAAGTGTGTGAGACCTCATCTCAACAGAAAAAAAGCTGAGTGTGTGGCACACCTGTCATCCCGGCAGCAGCAGAAGCCACAAAACAGGAAAAAGCCTATGCTGTCCTGGGTAAGAAGCAAGATCCTATCTCCAAAATAATCGGGGCTGGAGGTGTGGATCAAGAGGTGTAGAGTGCTTGCTGTATAAGCATGAAAACCTAAAGCCTAGTACCTCCCCCAAAAAAAGGCCTTTTGAAAGTCATAAACTAAGAAGCAGATGGGAAAATAGCATTTTCTTCTTATTGTTTAATGCAAAATACACACTCGCTCTGGCAAGTCCAAAAGAACACCAAGAAAGAGAACATGCTATTTTTCATCTCGTTCTTCCCCTTTAACTTTTTTGTGGTTTTTGGTTCTTGGTGTGGGGATCCAACCCAGGGCCTCGCTCCTGCTAGGCAAAGGCTCCACCACTGAGCTCCACCCCCAGCCCCCTTTCCTTTAGTTAAACAAGCAAAACTTATAGCAGATGAAGGAGTTTGCTAGGGAAAAACCAAAGGCGAAACACGACAATGAAAATATTTGCTCTCACCTCTTCTCTCCCGGGGGACAGTGACTGAGGCTTGCTTGGAATTGGCAAGGGAAAGCTTCTGCCTTCGGGTCTGAGAGGTGGTCTGTTGCTAGGGCCTTTAAAAGTACAGCAATTTGAAAATTAAGGTACTGTCAGGCTTTTCTTTCAGAACACAGGCCCCTCTCAATGGAAACAGTGGGGACATAGCTCTGCGTGTGCAGTTTGGGGATTGGGCCTTGCTTCCCCTTCCTGAGGAAGGGGTGTATGTGTGTTGTATTTCAAATCCTGTCATCCCAACATCTCTTAGTACACAGCAGACACTGAATTAAATGTTGAATGAGGAACTCGGGTGGCTTTAAGGAAAGAACAAAACCTTCACTAAAAGGGCTTTGAGATCAATTGGAAATCCAGTCACACAGACATGTTGCTTGGCTGGAGTAGGTCACAGGAGCTCAGGTACAAACCTTGAGAGAAGTATGGTGGCAAGGAGGCACTCTGTGGAAAACTGCTGTTACTGTGGAGACAAAAGAAGAATGAACTCTAGGTTGGGTTGGGTTGGCTTGGATTGGTTGTGGGGCCAGACTGGGGAGCTGAGTGAAGGAAGGCAGACTGTAGCTCTCCTTGCTCTGCCATTATTTCCTGCCTCCCCTCCCTGAAACCACCGAGCCAAGCTGGGTAAAGAGAAGGAACTTCTTTGACATGTCTCACCAGTGTCCCAACATGGCCTATGCCAAAACAAGCTTCCCATGCCAAAAACAAAAAAGTAAAGCTCTGTAAACTTCATTGTAAAGTTACTCTAAAAAGTCGGCTGCAGTTGGAGGATTTGGAGTTAGGAGAAAGGGGAAAGTCCTCTGGAGAGCAGATTCTCCTTTGCAGGAAAATACGTGGCATGGCATGAGGGGTGTAAATAGTGAGTCCCCAAGGCCTGATGGCCTGCATGGACAGGGTAGGGTACATGGGAAAGAAAGTGAGGTCCGGTGTGGGGAGGCAGAGGCAGGAGCCAGCCCTGGGTAAAGTTACTGAGACTCAACCTCAAAAAAATATAAGCAATAGGGCTGTGAGGCACGGCTCAAGTGGTGGAGGGCTTGCCTAGTGTGTTGCAAGGCCATGGGTTTAATCCCCAGTCCTACGAGAAAATCAAAGGAAAGTAAGTATGTCAGACATGTCTGCATCGGAGAGTGACAACATTGGCAGGGTGGGTGTGGGGGGAGCCCTAAAATGCTGTCTTCCCTCCATGGTAAGCAGTAACTCCCACCCCTTGGTCTAAACCATCACTAAAAGTCCGCTCTGCGCAGGAACTCCTGTGGGGGAACTTTTCCTGTAAGAAAATAGACACGGTAAAAAGAGAAAAGAGCTGGAGGAATGAGAAACCCTCAAGAAAGAAGCCAGGGAAGGTGGAGAAATCAGAACCTTTCTAGATACTGAGCAGGGCTGGACATGTGCCTCAACCCTCTGCCATTTGTAACTTGGCTTCTCTTTGGACGCTTCCCTAGAAGGTGTCTAAGGGTGGGAGGCCATGGGGCACTATGAGGAAGCCCTTTGGCGTGTTTGGGGAGTTGTGACCTGGGTTTTTCTCATGATCTCTGCTTGTGCCTCTGTCTCTGGACAGCCTTTTCATGAGCCCTGGAAATGCTGTTTTTGAGACAGACAATGCAATGCCTTTTTTGCGTCTGCTAGGTGCAAAGCCCATTTTCTGTCACCCCACCCAAGATGCAGGAGGAACTCTTAAATCAACTGGGTTTGTTTGAACTCACAAAGTGAAAGCATGCCCCCATCTTTTGCCAGTCCATCCCATCTGGACTGACCATGGGGGAAGGTGACTCTGCCCCACTCCTAAGCCCAGCACCTTTGTTCTGTTTCTTTAGACCCAAGTGCTCAATGCTGTTGCCTGCTTGCTGGCTCATTTCCTTCCTCCTCAAGCCACCTGGCATTACCTCAATGTCAGGTGGACCCAGGAGTCACGTGAAGGTAGAGTTTAATGATGTAGTCACCAACCTTTCTGAGAAGGCTCCAGAGCTGTGAGATGATGGGAGAGAGTGCTTGGGGTTTGGCTTGGCAGATCTCGAAGGGAAAGTGTGGGAACTCATAGAAACGAGGGCTGGCTGCGGCAAAGGCCTTTGATGGACTGTGGGGTAGAAGAAAAATTTAAGGAGACAGGATCCAAGTGTCACTAGGACTACTCTCAAGCTGCTCCCCAAGTTAAAAACACTGATGAATCCAAAAGTGGAAGAGAGAGCCCAGCCCCCAAGTTTTTCTAGATGATGTGCAATCTTAGAATGCATTAAAAATGTTCCTGTGATGTATTGCTTGATATAGTACCCACCAATTTTGTTATTTTTGAAATGCTAATTTAGTAGAAAACTGTCACCTGGAAACCCAAATTTCAGAAATGATTCAGAAGTTCTGATTCATTCAATGAAAACCAAAATCTTACACTATCTCCTTCATCAGCAGCTACTAAGTCTTATCTACACAGGTAAGAGGTGTGAATATTAGAAAATATCCCATCAAACCATACATTCTGTCCTAATTTTGCTGTTCACCTAGGTAATCTGCACTGTTAACATGAACCTAACAGCTGTTTTTGGTAACCCAACCAAATCTATTTTACTATAGCTATGCAGTATACCAAGTGGTATATGTCTGGTCTGCGTATATGGACAGTTATAACTGGTCCTGAGGGTTTCCTAACTTAAATTCCTGAGCAGAAAAATGAGAATGAAACACAAGCTGTAAGAAAGCTTTTCTAAACATACCATCATCTTCATCCTGGTAAGAGGAAGAAAAAAAAGATATTAATCATCAAAATAGTTCCTAAAGTTCAGTCCCTTTCTCCTATAAATGTGTCCAGCTCTTCTGTGAGCAGTTATATATTAGGAAGCATCTTAGCACTTGCTAAGTGGTTTATGATTTTTCTAATATAAACAACTATCTGAGGACCCTCCAGGCCGAGACTTTCATATACTTAGCTTGAAATAGGGTTTGAGGTTCCAAACAGGGCTCAAAGATAGAACAATATTTACAGTACCAGTGATCTGCCCAAAAGATTCGTCCACAATATCTCATTCATTTTCCTAGCAACCCTTTAAGAAATTAACCACCCTATTACAAATGGAAACCAGATGCTCAGGAAGGGTCCCTGGCTTGCCAAGGTTTTCAGAAATGTATTCAACCCCAAATCTACCTGTCACAAAGCCTGGCCCCCTTTCAGGCTGCCTTCACAGTGCCCACTTTCCTATTAGCTCTTATTTTTTTTTATAGGGCAGCTTTGCAAGGTGCATTGAGTTCCTTCACCATTTCTATCCTCAGGCCACCTTGTAAATTAGACAAGGGAAGGGCTACTTATTATCTCCTCAGATAAGACTTAAGGCTCGGAAAGATACAGTGATTTTTTTTGCTGTTGGCTGGTAGACCAGAAGACCAATGTGAACTTATTAGGCCTGCCCAGTGGTGATGAAATAACACTTCAGAGTGTTGTGAGGATTAAATTAGCTCCTGCCTGTGCCTCGCATAGGCTAAGTGCTGTTTAATAAGCTTTCTATCATCAGTTCTACCACCACAGTCAGAATCGCCCATCCAACTGGAAGCCCAAGCAAAGTGCTCCCTATGGTGGCATTATTGCTACCTTACCCCCTCTGGCTCAAGAATGTGTCCCCTAGATTATCACCATGATAGTCAACCCCTGAAGAGGCTGGGGGCCTCACGAACCTGACACTGCCTCTCCCTCCCTTCCACCTCCACTTTGTCCTGTCTCTGCAGCCAACCTGCATCCCTTGCTTCCCTGCAGGTCCCATGGGCATTGTCACCCCCTGCTTAGGGCATTCCTGAGCTAGAATGTCCCTGGTCTTTCTTTTCGAATGACTGTTCTGGGTCCTCCCCATTCATTCAGTGACCATGACAAATCTCATGTCCCCTAAGAAGTCACGACTGGCACCTTGACCCATGTGGCTTACTTTTTTCCCCTTAGCCTCCATAGGTCATTCCAGAATTGTAAGCCATTTAGCCTGTGTGACATGGAGCCTCCTGTCTCTATAAAATCTTAGCACTTCACTGAGCAAACACAGCATCTAGCACAGACATACAGAAACAGAAACCATTGCTGGCTGAACGTTTGATCAGGGACAGGTGTCCGAGAGCCTGCAGGAACTCCAACAGACCTGGGTTCAGAGCCAGGCTACTTACTACCTGGACAACATAGAGTCCAGCTCGTTCCTCACAGGGTTATTAGATGGGAAGCATAAAGAAAGCCAGGAATGAAGGACTCAACTGTCCTGTCTGTCTGGGATGTAGAACTTTCAGTGCTAAAACTGGGAAGTCCCAGCAAACATCTGACCACCCTAAAGTAGCATTTGATAATGGTATTTCTACTCTCTCAGGCAGAGGGATTCAAAATGAGAGGGGCCTCAGAAACATTTGTGTGAGCCCCAGTCTCCCAGGCCTCCCCCTCCTACCCTGTCCTTCACCTCTGCCCCTTCTTTCCCATCGCTAACTACCTTCTGGAGTTGGGGATGTGATTTAACACGGCCACCCTGGGGGCTGTCGGGGACAGGATCTAGACAATACAACATGGTGGGCTCCAGGGGAACACCTGAACCCCAAAGATGGAGGCAGCAGTATTGAAGACCTACAATGGTCTGGGGGCTTGGCTCAAGTGGTAGAGCCCTTGTCTAACACAAGATCCTGGGTTCAATTCCCAGCACCACAGAAGAGTCTGCTACAGGTAGGTCCTGCCCCAGGTGCTGCACCTCGGGGAAGGCCAAGGAAGGTGCAACTCGATCTCCACTGAACCTACGCTGCTTGTCCCTGTGGCAAGCACTGACAAAATGACTTTTTGTACTTACATTCTCTCTTCTGTCTGGCCCCCATCCATGCCTGAAATGGGTTAGGACAAAGAAAAAGAAGTGATTATCAGGAGCCTCAAAGAGCCATCCTCAGAATATAAAGTCACTGAATTGCATAAGGAGAAATCAGACCCACTGAACTGTGGTAGGAGGGGAAGCTGCAAATCCCAGCAGAAAGACAGAGAGGGAGGGGATGGAGACAGGGTCACTGCAGACTGTCACTATAAGCTGAGCAAGCAAACCTTCGTTCTGTGTAGCTACTGTGGCAGATAACCACATATAAATGTATGTGTGTTTAGTCAGCATTCAACTCTTCAGTAGCTATTAAATTTCACTCAGCAGATGTTTCCCCAAGCTAGTGAAAAGATTTTCGCTAACTTTTTGGCTGATGTTTTAAACCAGCTATCGTAGGGCTCTCCCAGTGAGAAGACAGTTGGAAAATGTCGCTTTTTGAGGGCTTTTCTAAAGTGGGGCTTGGTGCAGTTGGCTGAGATGAATAAGCCAGCCAAGCAGATTTGGTGACAGCTGTTTGAGTGCTGTGGAGGCCTGCCCCATGTTTGGGGGAGAGGATAGAGGAGGACGGTTTGCTGAACACCTCCTGGGTGCAGATATTTTAAGTCATCAACTCTCCTGTGTTTATTGAAAATGTTGATATTTTGGTCATTGTGATTGTTTTTGCATTCATCTGACTTTTAAAAAACCATTATTAAACTCGATGACTGAGTGTTTTCTTGACACACACACTAGCCCTAATCTTGATTTATTCCTTTAACAGCCAAGCAAGGGCCATCACTGTGCGTCCTGATGGCCCAGATCAGACAAGCAGAGGCCATGGTCACTTTCCTGAGTAGCAGGGCTTGCCTGGACCCCAGGTACATTTGTGCCATCTGGAAAACAGGCCCCCACGTGACCTCACAGCAAAGTTAGAATTCTTAGAGCAGACCTCAGGAGCATGCAGTTATAAAGTGGGCGAGCAGTGAGAATGACACTATGTTGACCTAAAACCTCTTCCAACTGTTTCCTCTCCTCTACCTGTATTGAAAAAGCAAGTGGGTCAGTACAGACTCATTGCACTGGGGGGGCTTCACTCTGACACTGCAGGGAAACTCCAATAAGAACGTGACTGGTGAAAGACAGGGTTTCCACCCACAGCTGGGTCCCACTTTCCAGAGACCCTGGAATTTTACATCTAATCTGGAAGCATGAATATTCTCATGTCTCAGCTCAGTTCCCATCTCTTCGCTGAAACCCTGGCACTGCACTTCTTTCAGTAAAGCCTGAATAGTCCTTAAGCCACAGCCACAAAAGGAGCCCACTCCTGCCAGAAGCACCCCCGTTTCTCAGTTCCCCTAGGTAGAGTTTCCCAAAGGCAGGCCGCCAGCATCATCCACCAGGTAGGAAGGACAAATTCCAAACCCAAGCAACACAAGAGAGTTACTTTGGCACCAATGGCTTCTTCCCTGCCAGGGGGCTACTTCGTTCTGGTCTCTCTGCAGCTGGTGGAAAAGGAGGCTTTTGTGTCTTGGGTAAATGCTCCCCGAGATTCCTGCAGGTTTAGAGATAGGACACATGAGAACCAGACAGGACCACAGAGGGCCAAGTCCTACAGCAAATATCTATGGCCTCCCCCAGATGCAACCCTGGCTCTTACCTTCCCACAGGGGGCAAGGGCTGTAAGACAGTAGGGAAGATGTATCAGTTTACAATCACTACCCAAAAAAGGGCAAGAGGTAAAAACCCCAAAAACAAACTAGAAAAGTAACTTACCTTGTCGGCAAACACTGGTTTCTTTCCTGCAAATGACAGAGCGGGGCCTTAAATTCAGAGTGTGACAATCATGATGTTTAACAACAGTTTGACGAGACTCTGAGTCTGCATCCTTCAGGAGTAACTGGGTTGAAGCAGAAGCTTTGGGTTTGCAAGGGTCCTGTGCAGAACACCTGACGTGATTAATGGCTCGCCCAAAGTCACATAGCTTTGTGCACGCGAGACAGCACAGTGTTGGAGGTTCTCTGCATCAACATTTAGCATTACTGGCGATTGGGAGGTTTCATGCCTCTTCCATTGACCAAAGTGATCTTTGTATAAACTACTTCCATGTCTGAAACAGGACCTTGTGCCAATGGGGAGTGACTTTCCCCCAATCTCATCTACACTTGGCATGATGTAAAGAACCCCACTTGGTTCCTGAAAAAATCTTTGAACTTGGAGAAGAGGGTTTCAGAAGATTCTCCAGGTGAATTGCACACTATTTTTTGGTGGTGTTGGTGGTGGCTTTTGTTTGTTGGCTTGTTTTGCTTTTCTCTGAAAACAGCTGGCATGCAGACATGCCAGGTGTACCTGAGAATCTGCACTGCCAAGTTGTTCAAAGCAATCTAACTTCTGTTCTATCTGAAATCCCGTGGTGTGGGCATGCCCTCTGTCTCCGATGAGATAAAAAATATAACTAGCTAGATTCCTCCAGGTCTAGAAGCAAACCTAGAATGACTTTGAACAAGGTTCAAGTTCAATTTAGCATTTTGAATGGCTTCCTCATCTGTAGGATACCTGGTGAAATGTGCCTAGTCTTGATATAAGCATGACAGTTGTATACAAGGTCAGGGACAGAGGGGTGGGATGGCAAAGGTGAGTTAGCTTCCATTCTTTTCCCTCCCTCCTACTTTGCAGGAACATAGACAGCTCAGATTCTGTCCTTCGGCCTGGATTTACCTCTATGCTGTGGGCGTGAGTTAGGAGTCTTGTGTTACTATAAAGTTATCACTGTAAAACCCCCTTGTACTGTAAATGTGTGCTAATCAACTAGTCCAAGCATCGTCAAAGGAGGTTCTTCCAAGACACCATAGACTAGGAAGTCCCTCAAAGGTCAAACAGGAATGGTCAGGAAAGAAGGCCTTCTAAAAGTTTTTCAAAACAGAAAATACCATTTTGAAAAAATAACGGTGTCAGGAGGTGATTGCGATGCTCCCACTGCACGATCTGGCCTGTGGTTGTGAGCAGAGTTGACCTGGTGTCGAGTTCGTCTTCATTTCGTGAAATTCCTACTACTCTCTGCAGACCACTGGTTTGCGCTCAGCTCACAGACCACAGAGCTTGCATGAGTTAGCAAAGCTAGGATGCAATTCAGGGAGACGGCACAAGCTGCAGAGCTAGATGCAAGAACTGAAAGTCATTTTGCCAACAGGAGGATGCGGAGGTCGGCAAAGGGTGACCTGAGTATGGCTAAGGAAGAGCTGGCACGGGGCTGAGACTCCAGAATCCATATCTGCTTAGTCTCAGGGCTCCTTCCCAGACCCACCTGGTCTACAGCAGGATAAAACCTGAGATCCTCCACTGCAGCAGAAGTGTGGAAAAGAGCGCCCACTTCAAAGTCAGAAAGACATGGGTTTGAATTTTAACACCTACTGGTGCAAACTTGCTGAATCACTCAGCTTCTCTGACCGTGGCTTTCATCAGCTAAGAAGCAGGGCTGATGATGCACACCTTTTTGCCAGGCCAGCAAATAGACTAGAGAAAACGCAGGTTAATTATCTGCCCCAACAGGTGCTCGATAAGTGGTAGCTAAGTTATAGAATTGAGCTCAAAATAGCTCCTTGTGGAGGGAACTGGAATCATGAGCTATTCTGCGTGAACTGTACCACGTTCAATGTTTAATCAACTGCGCATCCAACAAAAAACAACCTGGAAGCTTGGATAGCATCTTAGAGTTTTCTAAAGTAGCTCCTCCTTACAGAACACCACCCTACAAATAAGGGGACTGCCCTGAGATAGTGACACCCCAGTTTGTCAGTGAACTGAGTAGCAGACAACAGCTCTGCGTGACCTCTTGTCTCTTAGCCTGTGTCCCCCCTCTGCACTGCACCTCTCCCTGCTGTGTGGTGGCTGAAGAATGTGCCTGTGAACACAGAGTGCACCCATGAGAAGCAGGCCTGCACTCGGGTCTACTCCATCACTCCTAGCTGAGTGATCTTGGAAGTTACTTCTTCCTGCCTCAGGTTCCTCCTCTGTAAAATGAGGATGACTCTCGCCCTCCCCCCCCCAACACACGCACTTCATAGCATTATGGCAGCATTTTAGTGACACAGTGCACATGAAAAGCATACAGCAGGCACACTCTGTGTCATCGTTATCCTTAGGCATCAAGCCTGAGTCATACCGACTGCTGGGAAGGGCTCTCTGTCAAGCGGAGCTAGTGAGCGGTCTAGGGCAGGTTTGGTGCTTCTGTCTATTGAAGGCGCTGGCACTGGAGGGGAAAAGGCTAAGGTCAGTTAAAGGAAGAATGTGGCTGGCTGGGGACAGGGAGGGAGGTCTGGTGGCAGGAGAGAGAGCCCTGTGCTTACGTTTAGCTGTCTTGTGGTTTCGACTTCTGCTGGGTTCTTCCTGATTGGGCTGGGGTGCGGGGTGTGGCTGCATAAAAAAGAGAGATCCAAATGTTAGTATTTCCAATGTCTTAACAAGACCTGGTGGCTTTCTCTCCCCATATCTGTTGGGATCTGTTCCCTTTCCTCCATCTCCATTTCTCAGCTGAGCCATTGGGGCAGGTGGCCTCCTATCTGAACCTCCTCTCATGCAAGGGGCTGTATGCAGGACTGGAGTCCCTGCTAAGCCCTCTCGGGGCTCTGATCACATCAGGAACAAACCCAAAACACCCACCCTGCCTACCCCTCCACCCCCTCTGTATGTTCCTCTCCTGACGTTGCTGGCCCCACCACAGCGGGGGTGCAGTCCTTGTAACATATCAGCTCACGTGCTCTGGGACATTGCATGCTTCCTTTGCCTGCAGTGTTCTCCTCAGCTCTTCCCATGACTGGCCCGTTCTGTGCCAGCTCAGTTCCCTCTCCACCCACCTCGTCCTCTCTCTCCCTGACCAGACATAACTGACTACTCAGATCACTTCTATGTCTGTTTACTTGTTTCGTAGCTGTCTCCCCATCCCCAATCCAAACTTCATGAAAGCAGGGACTTGGTCTTGCTCATGCTCTTCTGGTACCTAGAACAGAGCTTGGCACCCATGGCTACCCGGTCAGTACCTTCACCTGTTATGGAGGTGAAGGTTTGCAGGATCAAAAGCAACATGCCTTTGCGGACACATTCAGCTCCTCTAACCCCCTTTGCAATGAGTCTCACAAGTGTGGGGGAATCTACCCTCAGCGGGGAGGCAGACTGTGGGATTGGATGTAGACCAGATCTCCACCTCTCCTTCCTTTTCTACCTGACACCTTGGCACTGCCATGGTTATTAAAGTGCTCTGGTTACTGGTGAAGCCACCGTGTTCCAGCTGCGGATCCCTTACTCTGAGCTTCTCGTGGTAACTCTCAGGATTTATTAGATTAGTGGAGCCATTGTCCCCTTAAAGGGCAAGGGGGTTGCTGCCTTGACTTTCTCCCCCAGTTGGTTAATTTTGTGGTCTGAAGGCATGGGTCCGCGAATTTCAGTCTGGCCAGCAGGTGGCGCAATTCTCTCCGCAAGAGAGGGCAAGTCTGGGGATCCACACATCACCAAGAGGAACTGACTTTAATTTTTTTTTAAGAGTCTATTTTACAGTTTTCACCTATTTTAAGTAGCTCAGTGAATATTGGTAGGGGGCTTTTTTATTATACAAATAGGGTATTATGACACAAAGAAAACACCAATATGCATTGTGATGTAAATAGAAACCACTGGTGACCTGAACCTGGGGGCTGTGTGCCTGTGATCCTCTTTTCCTGCAAAATTAGAATTGGGTAGAATGTTTAGAACTTTCTTTTCTGTGTGGTAGAAGAGATGGCTGGAGTGAAAGGAAGTGCGATGGAGAAGGGGGTACCTACCAAGTGATTCCGGCCAGTGGGCAGGGGAGGAAGGGCAGACATGGGTCTCTGAGGGGGCACTGGAGGCTGCTGGGGGACTTTCCCAGTGGGGGGCCGGTCTGCAAAACAAGAATTAAAATGAAAGGAGAAAGGTGACCAAGATGAGAGACGCTCAAGCTCGGGCTCTGAGGACAGATGCTATTCTGGACTCTGTGCTGCTGCTTGGGAAATGAGGCCCCCACTCTCTACCCGATGAGCCCCAGCCTGGCAGCTAACAGCCATTAGCCCCTGCCACCCTCAGCCTGACCTAGTTCCTTCGACTCCGTGTGTGCAGAGGAACAGCTCCCATCTCATGTCACAGGAATATTATCAGAGGTGCCACCCATCAAAGCAGGCCACCTTGGCATTAGCTCAGTACAGGGAGTGTTTTCAGACAATCTTTTGAAGAATTAAGTGTACACTGCTTCTGCATGCGCACACAAATGTTTAATGCATGCACACAGACCCATGTGCAGAAACACGTGTGCATGCTAGTGTACATATGGACACATGCGCCCAGAGAAACACGGGTACACGTGTGCACACGCAGAAACACACGAGCATGCTCACATACATACATGCACTCACATAGCACACAGTTGCCTGTTGGGGCTATGATGACTGTCACCACCCATGGGGCTCCTCTTCTGTCTCCTCCCCTCCCAAACGCTGCCATCCCTCCCACTTCCTCCTTTGCTCATCTCCTCCCCGGCAGCGAAGAGCTGGCCACCAGCTCATGTTACCAAGTCAAGTAGTGCATGGACTTGCCTTGGACAGAAATGTGACTGACTGCCTGTCCCTACGCCAGCTTGACAGGGTGGCAGTTTCTTACACTTCTGATGGGGAAAAGCCCAAGAGACAAGTGAGCCAGGGCATCCTTGCATTTTGTGCCCTGGGCACCTCTCTGGCCTAGTCTCGGCCCCAGAGAGGTGTGGTGTTTCCAGAGGGAATGGGCCCAGAGCAAGCCTGGTCTCATCTCATACCACATTGGCCACCTTCCAGTTCCCCTGCTGTGCCATGCTCCTTCAGACCTCAGGGCCTTTGTACAGCCATTGCTACTGCTTTGAATGTTCCTTGTCTTTGACATCCACCCTCACTTAGCCAATCTTATTTATTCTTCAATATCGGCTCAGTGCCACAGCTTAAACAGGAGCAGGAAGCAACCCCACCTCCTGTACTTGTGTCCCTGACCACGCATCACGGCTAAATTGGACCCTGCTACTGATGCGTTTACGCTGTCTCACCACTGGGCAACAACTCCCCTAGGCCAGGGCGTCTTGGTCCCTCTGTATCCTTATAACCGGTGAAGGTAAGATGCTCAAGAACTTGGGTTCCATTTCCCTAAGTGTGAAGCAGGCTCACCATTGTGTCCCTCATCCCACAGGACGAGGCTGAAACACCCGAAATGAGAAGCTGGGATGCTGTTTGCAGAGGAGCTCCAAAGCACTCTGCATCTGCAGCTCGCAGGATCCCACGTGAGCCTCGCTGGGCTTGGTCATCAGCTCTCGGCTCGCGCACATTCTGTCACACCACCGCCAGACCGGCAGCCCCACCACACAAAGGCTGGAAAGGGGTCTGGCTCACAGTGGGAGCTCACTAGGTATAGTTGAGTGAATGAGGAGGAAAAGGACGGGTGGGAACAGGTGGAGGGGAAGTCCTGATGACTGTCTCGTGGCTTTCGAAGTTGTAATCAAGCCCAGTCAGCACCATTATGTTCATTCTGACACACTGAGCATAACTGTGAAAGATGAGGACCATCAAGGCACATGGCGGCCAGTGCTGACAGCAGCTATCCAGCTTAGTGTCTTAACTGAAACTGATCCCTCCTTGTAAACCTGTAATATCAGCCATGTCACAGACGAGGAAATGGAGCCCACGAGCCACAGCTAGAGCCACACGGCTGTTACAAGGCTGAGCTGGCCTCCCACGCACAGTGGGGGAGTGCAAGAGGGTGAAAGGCCTTACCGATGTACATGGAGTTGGTGTTGGGGAAGGGCTTGGCAGGCAGGATGGAGTTCTGCAGGGCCTCCTCATCATTGGAGGGTGGTGGCTCGTAGTCGGCATCATCTTCCATGGGTGCTGCCGCCTCCTCCTCCTCATTGGGGGACTCATAGTCACCATCGTCCTCCCCATCAGGGTCGTCGTTGGGGCTTTCGTAGTCATCTTCCTGCCAACACAGTGGGGGGGCAGCTGCTGAGGTGCCACGGAACTCCCCATGCCTGTGCCCACCTTCTCTGCCTAGCCTGACAATGGCGCTCTTCCCGAGGGGCAGGCAGCTGAGGACAGCTGATAACTGAGTCAGGGGAGTGCAATGTCACAGGGCCACCTAGTCATGAACTTGGGACGCCAGGCAAGGTCTTGGACTACACCTTTGTGTACACTGAAGAGAGAGAGAGAGAGAGAGAGAGAGAGGGGAAATGTGGTGGATACTTGAGTGGGGAGGGGGGAGCTTCGTCTTAAGTGAATACAGTCTTCACTGAGACGTCATGGGGTGCTGAACGCTTGGAGTGTTGGTGAGGACACTAGTCAGTTGTCACTTAAGTTCCCAGCATGCCTGTGCTCAGCTTTCTTGTTATAATGTGTGGCAGCCTGGGGGCCAAGCTAACTGAGGAAGCCAGATAAACAAAGCGTGGTGACTGAGGCAGCTTAAGAGGTGAGGGTTGGGGTGTCACTCAGAGGGACAGTGCTGGCCAAGCACACGCAAAGCCCTGGGTCCCACCTCAGCACCACAAAAATCAAAACACAGCAGATGTGGTGGAGCGGATGGCCCTCCGTGTGCTCTTCTCCCCACCGAGTTGGGTGCATAGGAGTGACAGCTTCGTGTTCATGACACAGACATAGAAGAGGAAGCTGCTCTCTGGGAGACTCCAGAATTAACATTTTTCACTCTTTTGCTTTTGCTTCTTCATGGGTCTCGGGGAAAGGAGACCCAAGCAGAGTGATCGTCCGTGAAAGTGGACGTCAGCCACCAAGTGCTGAGTGGTTCGTCACTGTCATGTCGAGGTCAAGTGCGTAAATAAACATGCCCGAGACTCTGAAATCAAGGCAACGGGGAAAGAAATGGCATGCTGCAAATTCTGAGGAAAGATCTGGATTGGTGTCCTAGAAATCCTGACATCTGTGTTAGGTTGCTCAACAGAAAGTTTCTTGTATTGGTTTTCTTTCTTCTTTTTGGTGGTTCTGGGGTTGAACCCAGGGCCTCAGACTTGCTACACAGGCACTGTACCACTTGAGCCAGCCTAGCCCTTTTTGCTTTGGTTATTTTTGAGATAGGGTCTCACTTTATGCCCAGGCAGGCCTGGATCTCAGTCCTCCTATTTGTGCCTTCTGTACATAGCTAGGGATGACAGACAGGTGCCACTATGCCCAACCTTTGGTTGAGATGGAGTCTCATGAACTTTTTGCCTGGGACTGGCCTCGAACTGTGATCCTTGTGATCTCCACCTCCCGAGTAGCTAGGGTAACAGGCTTGAGCCATAACAATGAGCCTGTGTTCATTTTCAACTTGAGGAATAACTGAACAACGAGAAAGGCACACTGAGGCCTGAATGCCTTCCTAAACTCTGAAAAAGACTTTCCATGCCCCATCATTATTGTGACTTAAGAGCGGGTGGACCAAACCTTTGTAGAAAGAACTTTGGAACACTGGCCTCAGCAGCAGACAGGTGGCCTCTCTCTAGTTCCTCCTCCTTAGGATGCCCATGTTCTCTCTCAGCTAACCCCCTTGCTCTGACTTTGCACCAGCCCCACAAGCCTTTCTCAAGTGACCCTTTCCCTCTCTGCTTCTAGAACAATGGTTTTCTTCCAACCACTTGGCCCTAACATGTGTGTGCATGCTTTAATTGCCAACATAGTCTGCCATATGTGCTTTCCACACTGTCAGTGCTCATAGGGCTGGGTTCGTCGTCTCTGTCCATATCCCCAAAGTCCCCTGAGCAGACATAAGGGAACTACAGAGTTTTATAGCCACCGGTGATTGCAAACCCTTGGTTTCTAGAGAGGATTGAAGGTGACTCAGGCTGAGCACAGGGCGCAAACATTCAGCTTCTGTACAAAAATATGCACACATTTGGGGAAATGGACCTCTTTTCTCTTTCGAACAAAATGAATGTATTTTCCTTCGTTTCTCTATAGGAAGCACAAACTTCACAGAAGGAATTTTTTTCAAATGCAGTGCATTGATTTGCCAGAATCTCAGCAGGACGAGGGACTCTGCACCAGCTTTTGAGCAGAAAGGCCATGTGACAGAGGGCAGCCGCCTGGGTCCCATGTCTGCTTCTAACAAACAGCTCATCTGAAGCACATTGTCCAGAAGGCCCGGCCGCTTCCTCTGTAAAATGAACAGTCGGGGCTATCGTCCACTATGTCCTGAACTTCAAGGGTGGTGACTGTACGTAGGAGGAGGGGCACAGAGTCTATCAGTCCATCAGACTCTGACAGAGTCCCTGTGACCCCTCAACTGTAAAAACCAACTGCAGTGGAAGCTTTTCCAGGAGAATCATCCATTCTAACGTCCTTTTCGCTCTGTGCCTCCTATGGGCACTGGAGTCCACAAGAGCAGTTACTTTAGATTTCTAGGAGGGACAGTGTGGAGCCAGGATGGGGATGGTGGCCTTGGTGGGCAATGGTTTAGTCTGCACACTTCAGCCCAAAGCCAAGTCCAGCCACACTCTCCTTTTGTAAATGAAGCTCGGCTGGCAGGCAGCCAGGCCAATCATGACACACTGGCTGTGGCTAGTGGCAGAGTTGGGTAGGGGAGCCAGAAACCTATGGCTTCTAACGCCCTAATAGTTACTGTCTGGTCCTCTGCACAACACTTCCTGAGTACTGCAGTGGGGTGTACTAGCATCTTGTACAGGTTTTGCTCTTTCTGGCATCACACTGAGTTCTTCCTACAAAGCCACCCTGGAAAGGTGGAAGGGCAGCCCAGCCATACTCACAAAGGACGACCAGCCCCCGTTGTCCTCCTCGTGGCTTTCTGTGAAAGGAGATACACCATTAATGGCACCACGAAGGTGACACTTGAAGGAAAGTCAAAGTAGCCCCCCCATTGGGTGCCCCACTAAGCCTCCACCCTACCTGCCTCACACCTGGGGCTTTGGATATGGTTTGCCTCACTGGAACTCATGTTGAAATTTGACTCCCAATGAGATGGTATCCAGGGGAGGTCAGACCTCATATAATTAGGTCATGGTTTCCCACCTTCATGAGTGGATTGTCTTTCTCTGGAGACTGGGTTAGGTCTCTCGAGCCTGGATGAGGTGTCACAGTGACGTGGGTCTCATGGGACAGGATTAGGCGCTGTGAGATGGAGTCTCGTGGTCACTGCTACATGTACCCCTCTGCCACTCTCATGTGTACCCCGCCGGGTGATGCCATCTGTCATGAAGCGCTCAGCAGAAGTTGGGCAGGTGCCATCACCCTACACATGGACCTCTAGAACTGTGGGCTAAAAACTGATTTCCTTTGCAGAGTGCCCAGCCTTGGGCATTTTGTTACAGCTACAGAAAACGGCCTAAGGTAGAAGCTAATCAGCCTTAGAGATTTTAGCTGAGTGCATTCTGCCAGAGGGCAGCAGTCGTTCGCAGAGCGTTTTCAAATGTGTAGATTCCTGGGGTCCTATCCCTACAGCTTCTGACTCACCAGGACTGGGTGGGGCCCGGGAACCTGCATTTCAATACCACATGCAGTTTAACAGTGAACACTGCTTTAAAGTCCTGGGAGCAGGGGGACCAGCCCAGTCAGGTGCCTTTGCCAAAGTCTGGGCCTTTCTAACTGCCCCCACAGAGCTCCCAGAGTTCTTTAGTGTATCATCTCCACAGAGCGGGATTGTTCCTCCATTTGGTTGGGACCAAAACCCTTTTCTGAGTAAGAATTGGCCCTCAGGTAAATGAGGAGGGTCACCTGCATGGAGCAAGGAGCTGCAGAAAGCAGAAGCCAGAAGAATCAAGGTACCCAGCCCTTCCCAAAGCAACCGTCCCTAGACCCCCTACCTGTCTCTTCAGGAAACCGATGCACTTGGGGTCTGCAAAGGCAAACAGCATGCATCAATGGCAGGATTACTTCAGGAGCCCCCCCTTCTGCTCAGCCCGGCCGTGGGAGAGGTGCCCTAGTGAGGGTATGTCTCCCTGCCCAGGATTGCATCCTGTTGCTTGGCAACCATGCCACACTGTCACCCCAAACTCTGGGAATCACCAAAGTCACATTGGTGGCACAGCCGGAGGCTCATGACTGCCCAGTGTTGCAGGGGACATTCTCTAATAAACTGTACCCTGGCTGGACGCAGGGCAATGAGGTGAGAACCTGCTCCCCAACTTGGACGCCATCTTCAAGACCCCTGGGGCTGGGGGACCACGAGGTGAACAGTGGTCTGAGGCTGCCTTTTAAGGTTCAAGTTGGGGTTGAAAATTCCTGAGCTTCTTACAGCAGCACCGCGCCCTGAGCTGCCCACTCACTTGCGTGTGAAGATGCTTCTTCGCTCTTCATTCTTGTTGATGTCTTGACTTAACTTACTGAGAATCCTACAAGACAGACAGACGTTGAAGAGACAAGCCCTCTCCTCCAGCCTCCACCTCCCTGCCAAGCCCTGAAGGTCCCTGATCTATACAACCTCAGAGCACCCAGGCGTCTTCTTTCCGAGGTCTCCAGCCTACGTCACACCTTCACTTCCTCCCAGAACTTGTCACCTCATTTCTCACCACCAGACCTGGCACCTGCCAGTCTTCCTGCCTCTTCCTTGGAAACACTCCCCAGCACTGACCTGTGTCCACTAAGCCTTCAAAGCCTAGCCCATAGCCCTCCTCAAACACTGCTCAGCTCACACCCGACTTCCCTTCCATAGGATCTGGACGCTGTCCTCGTGTAGTGTGTGGGGACTGACCTCCCTTGACCCTTGGTTGAACATTCTTGTGATGGGGTCTTGCTCCCAGGCATGGACAAACCATCTCCAGACCCAGAGGTCTTGGCTGCCGTGTCTGCAACTGCTTCCTATCCCAACCTCCAGTGCAGTGCTCCCCTCTTCTCCCCTCCCCTCCCCTCCCCTCCCCTCTTCTCCCCTCCCCTCCCCTCCCCTCTTCTCCCCTCCCCTCCCCTCCCCTCTTCTCCCCTCCCCTCCCCTCTTCTACTTAGAGACATGGATTCTACAGAAACTTGGAATCACATTCTCAATAAAGGCACAGCCTGCATAAGGGGAGTCCCTGAATCGCCCACCCCCCTGAGCTAAGCTTGGTGGAGACACCAGAAGACACCTTGTCCTCACGTGCTTCCATGTCTGAAGCAGCAAGTCCCTAACCCCCAGGGTGGGCAGGGCTTTGCCCTCATGACCCATCTCCAGCGTCCATCCAGACTCAGACCTGCAGGACCTGGGACTTCAGTCTTGGAGGTTCTCAGGTCTACTGTATTTTACAGAAGAGGCAAAGGAGGCCCAGACAAGAGAAGGGACAATGTAGGTTAATGAGGGTCCCCCATTCTCCCCAGCACACACTGCAGTCCACAAGCCCACCTCTCTGATGTCCAAGCCAGCATCCTTTCAGTGGTCACATCCTCCTTAGAGTGACAAAGCAGATAAACAGGGCAGAGAAGGAGGGAGGGGGCTGTTGTTGAGTCCATAATGACATCAATGCTGGAGTTTCAGACGTTAGGGACCACTGAGAGGAGGAGGTGCTTCAAAGCAGGGATAGGGCTTCCTTGTCCCCTTGTCCCCTCTGATAAGGCCATCAGAATGCTTGTGACAGGAATGGTTTTGGCTCCTTTAAAGAGTTGTTTAGAGAAACTGATGTCCATGCTGAAGGCCTCCTTCGGGAGGTTACAAGCCCCCCCGCCACGGGTGCTGCAACCGTCATTTGTTCACTCAACAGTGCACGTCAAGGTCCTTCTAAACTCTAGTTGCATTGTGACCAAAACAAAGATCTCTGCTCTTGGGAGCTTCTGGCTCACAAAAGAGGTATGCAATTCACAGGGAATATTTAAGAAGTACGTGTGGGCCATACATGCACTGAGCATACGTGATGGGGAGAGGGAGTGCAATTTTTGAGAACCAGGCCTTTAAATGGAGGTGACATTTCAGCAAGGCCTGGAGGGAGGGAGGGGCCTTGCCTCACCTCAACGCCCGCCCCCTCTTCCCCCATGGCTAGGCTGAACTCTGAGGGCTCAGGTGTCACTTGGGTCTTACAAAGGGTTCTTGCTCTCAGCAGCAGCTGGGGGCTGCTCACCAGTATCTCTAACAGCCAGGCTGTGGGCTGCTGGGGTGCAAACTGGGTAAGGAAGGAAACATCAAACCACAGACCCCACACAGAAGCAAAGAGCTGGGGGAGAGCAGGATGGGACCTGGAGGCCCTGCGTGCAGCAAACCTCAGGCTCCCAGGGTCCTCCAGCCTTGGGCTCTGAGAACGCCTTCCAAGACAGAAGGTCCACTGCTGAGGGTGGCGGCTGAGTGGCAGTTTTAGAGGCAGGACAAGGAGGCAGCTAATACCTCTATGTGCAAACCTCTAGAGTTGCACTGCACAGTCAGTGGACCAAGTGACAGTGAATGGCCGGAGGTGACTCATTCTCCCTCCTCCCCACAAACCCCAGGCCTCACCCCAGTCCCAGCAAAGAGGCAGAGGGGTTACAGCACAGACAGTTGTCCCCTCTACTTCCCCTTTATTGGAGGTGGTGCTGGCCCTAGGAAGAGGGCTGAACCTCTAGCAGGAAGTCAGGCCACTACAGGAAGGTGGCATCCTGTGATGACCAGGGCTCCAGCCCAGTTGCATCCCTAGCTCACTGCCTGATGGAGCCAGCCCTCACCTTCAGTCTGAGGTCCCTCCTGGTGACATAAAGGGATGGGACTTGTAGGCACAGAGGCTGTGACTGCAATGGCCTTTCCCAAGGCCAGCACCCCTGCGTGACTTCAAGGCATTTGCCCTCCAATCCCCTATCTGATCTGACCAGGGAATCCCTGACTGTGGTCATCAGATGACCCAGGTGCACCTGTCACAAACACAGATTTCCAGCCCCTAGCCAGTCAGAATCTACAGGGAGAAGCTGGGATCTGTCAGAAACAGTTGAGTCTCCTGATCAGAAAAAGATTGTGGAATAGCTATATTCCTCCTCATGCTGACGAAATTTCTTTTAATAAAAAGCAATGAGAAGTGGGAGAAGGAACTTTTGTAATTATGAAGGAAATAAGCTAGGGGAGTGAGGGAGAAGAGGGGTCTCCATCTACTTCTAATGCATTCCCTCTACTCTCTAATCGGTGACCCCTTCTCTACCTACCTGTGGAGGAAGCCTTGAAATAACATTGGCTGATCACTCAAAAAGAAAGAAAGTATAAAAGGAAAGCAGGAAGAAAGGAAGGAAGGCAAAGAGGGAGGGGAGAAAGGAAGGGGGGAGGAGACCAGAAACCAGAGCACACAGCACACAGTAGGAGTGTCAGTCTCTTGTGAAAATTCGGTGCTCCTTGCCTGTGTTGTTGCATAGGTAACCTCATGCTGATTTATGGTACAAAGTGTATTTCTTGCCAGAGTCTGCTGAGCTTTGAACCAACTTCCCTACTTTCCTACCTACCCATCCCCCACGCTTCTCCTCATGGGAGGCTTGCTCCTTGATTGTAGTTTCTGGCTGCCTCTGCTCCCTCCAGCACCGCTCAGTCCCATACCAGGACAGAGGGGCCATCTGCATCCAGCCAGCACGGCCCTCTCAGGGGCCGCCCTCCAGCTGGCCTCAGCCCTCCTCCAGCTCCTGTGCTCACTCAATCTTGCCCTCTGCTCTGTGTTCCATTCTTCCTTACAGGAACAAAGCTCCCACCTGCCTCCTTGAACAGAGCCGAGCCTTCCATTCTCTTCCTTTTCTAGTGAGAGCCAGGGAGGTGCCATGTTGTTTGAAGACTCAGAAAGGCCCTTCCTGGTCATCTTGGGCCTCAGTGGAGTGCCATGTGCAGGCAGGAACTAACCTGGCATTCAGCATGGTCTCCCTGCTTCTCACCATGCCCTACACACAAGCAGTTTTGCAGGTAGTGTTTACATGTGCCTCACCACCATTTGAGTGGTAGACAGACAGAATTAGTTCTATCTTTACCAATGAGAAGGCAATGCATGGAGAGAGGTCTTAGTCAAAGGCCACATGACCAGGATCAATGTGGCGTTAAGACTTGGAGTCAAGTTTTCTGAGCTTGCGTTGGAGAAAAAGGAGCAACAGCTGAGAGGAGGTGCCGTGAAGGGGTTGGACTGAGGAAGGCTGAGAAGGGCTGGGTGTCTGCATGGGGCTTACCCACTACAAGGTAGAGGAAGACGTTGGAGACGGGCCTTGTCACTGTCTCAATTTCACAGGGGGGTATATGCACTCATAGATGTAGGAATGTTCTTTTCACCTTCGAGTCCCTTCCACTGCACCTTCCTCTCCTCTCATTCTCAGACACAGAATTAGACACTGAGTAGGTGAGACCCAAGACCACCTTGGAGATTGGGAGACTTCCAGCCTCACCAGGAGGAAGAGGCACATAAGCAAATAAATAAACAAACACAAATTCCTGCTTGGCCCTCGGAAGGCTCTCAGCTTCCCCTAATTTCTCTGTTGGAGATGGGTCCAGGGAGAGCTGATGAGGAAAATTACCATCCAACGCCTCTCTCTGACCTAGAGCACCCATCCCAGCCCTCCCTCTCCTTTAAGGTTCTCTGTGGATTAAATATAAATCTATAACATCTCTTCTCATGAACCTCAAGCAGCCATCAGCAAACTTTAGTGTGTATTCTATGGATTTCACTAGGCTATTATCAGAAATACCGTGTGATTTAACCTGGGCTCAGTAAAGGGAGCTTTCATTGTTTTCTTTAAGAACCCTCCTCCAGGTAGGCGCTGTGGTTTGTGCCTGGAATCTTAGCTACTCTGGAGATGGTGATTGGGAGGATCATGGTTCAAAGCCAGCATGGGCAAAAAGTTTGTGAGACCCCATTTCAACAAATGGCTGAGCACGCCTGTCATCCCTGCTGTGCCAGGAAGCACATATAGGAGGATCACAGTCCAGGCAGAAAGCAAGACCCTATCTGAAAAATAACTAAAACAAAACAGGCTGAAGACATGGCTCAAGCAGTAGAGCACCTGCCTAGCATACACAAGGCCCTAAGTTCAAACCCCAGTACCACCAAAGCAAAAAACAATAAAACCTCCATTTTTACAATAGTGGGGGTGTCTTGGGATCAACTTTGTCCTCGTCCTGAGAGAGAGAGAGAGATTGAATCAAGAAAAGACATAGGGATATTTAGAGGCGTGTAATCATCCTTTGATTGCTACACATACACATTTTCTCTCCTATAGCCCTTTATGGTGACAATGGAGACAAATCAACCTGTGTACAAAGGAATGGGATGAATGAGTACCAAATATCCGTATCTGTCAAGGATAGTACCAGGCAATTTATGTTCCTTTAATATTCCCCCCTGCCTGAGAGTTACTTCTTTTCCCTTCTACAGATGAGGAAACTGAGGCTCAGCCTGTTGAACTGACTTCTCCGAGGTGCCACTGCTGGTAGGAGGCAGAGCAAGCTTCAGAGTCTGAATCTCTCCCTCTAGCAAGATTAAAATAGTAAAAATGGAAATTGTGATCACTGAAATTTCACATAGGAGAAGCTGGAATATACACTATGCCTGCTGCTATCTCCCCATCATTTCCTCCGAGTTCCCCATTGGCCCTTGGAGTTTCCATTATGGTCTCCATTTACAGAAAAGGAAGCCGAGGCTCAACTTGCCCACCGTCTGTAACTCATGACGGAGGCTCCCTGTCTGTCTGTTCATATCTAAACCCATAGTGTTTTAAAGCAGGGAGCCTTATACAGTCCGTGTCACCCCTCCTCTCATTGTGTGGGGATGTGCCCCAGGTCACATAGCTCATTAGGAGAGCTGGAACCGGAACTTGTTTTACATTTCTCAGGGCGGCTGTATCTTCCCCATCACTCTCCATAGAAACCCTTTGCATTCTGTGAGTCTGGGGTACTCATTCAGACATAAGGGAGGTCACTGGACCACCAAGCCAAGTTTTTGTTGCCTTTTTCAAATAGCTAAAGAACCACCTCACCCCTTCCCCACCTGTAACACAGGTGTTACAGCCCCCTTCTACGTTCACTAGTGGCCACTCTCACCCCCACCTGCTTCTGGTATCAGACATAGCTCAAGGACTTCAGTTGAGTATAGCCTTAAGAGAAAAAGGATCTTCCAAGCAGAGAGCCCCTTCTTCATCTCTGTTCTACTGCTCTGACTAAATTTGTCCTCTTCCCCCGCCCCCCCCAGCAACCTTTGCAGCCACAGCCCTGGAGACACCCATCTCATTAGTGAGATCAGTCTCGCCATCTCCTAACTTGGCCCCAATTGGGTCCTCTGAGTCATTTTTGACACTTCCTGGACAGATCCGGCCCCAAGTCTACCTTCTTCCTGTTGGTGCACCTTCACCAGTACTCCAGATGTCCTACAGTGGCTCACAGGACCTTTATAAACTGTGACCCAAGCATCTCTACCAGTTAGTTCCTGACTGACTGACTGTGCATTTGCCTCTGTCTCTGTGACCCACTGGGAGTTCCACAAGACACAATGGTACCTGGTGCCTTGCAATATGCTCCCTGCTCTAGAATGTTCTGCAATCCATTCTTCATCTGACCATGTCCAGTAGACTTCAAGATTTTACCCAAGGTCCTTCCTCCCAGAAGTCTTCCTTGAATACCTTGGGAGAAAGTTACTCCGGCCTCTCCTCCCTCCTCCCTCCTCCTCCTTTTGACCATAGCGTGACTGCTTTGGCTGTATCCCTGCTCCTCCCACGAGGATGTGCAGGTCCTGGGGGTTACTTAGCTTTGTAACCTAAGTAATTAACAGAGGCTTGGCACGTTGTATGTGTCCAGTAGCCGTTCACTAAATGAATAAGGAAACATGTACATATACATAGACACAGACACACACACACTGAAATGTGGCTAATGCCTCTGCTGAGGCAGATTCTAAATTTAATTGGAACTTAAATAGCCACTCCCGCAGACTTTTTTTGTTTTACTTATTTTCAGGTAGAGCCTCACATTTTTGCCCAGGCTGGCCATGGATTGCAATCTTCCTACCTACACCTCCATACCTAAAATTACAGCGAGATGGGTCTCGCTAACTTTTTGCCCAAGCTAACCTTGAACCTCCATCCTCCCAATCTCTGCCCTCTAAGAAGCTGGGATAACCAGGTGTGAGCTGCCACGGCCAGCCTGGGGAGAATTCTTACAGAGCTCACACAGTCCTCAATAACGCTTGTCCCTGGAGATAGGCAGCTCCAAAGCCAAATCCTGTTCCTCGCTTCTCCTCCACCTTCTAGACAAGGGAAACCTAATAGTGGTGCTAACTATATTTTTCTTAATTGAGATGCTCTGGCATTGCTACGTGTGAATGAAGCCTTCCAACTTCTTTGGAATACTTCTTTATCGGTAGAAGCTTTGGGACCCTGAGCGCAAGAGGTGGAACCTCTCAGAATGTATGAAAGTAGACATCTCAAACCAGTAGCATCTGGTCTTTGACTTTCACAATATTTAAAAACAATTGAGCCAACATTTAAAAAATGGAGATGCTCACAGTAAAACCCACATTTCTAGCTAGTCTTGATAAATGTGAAGACTGGACAGTGATGTGTCCATACTGGCAGGAGCTGAGTAGCTGCCATACTCTGAAGGGAACATGTGATGTCTGATTTGCCACCACCCCCACCACCCCCTACTGTCTCACCCTCAATGAAGCTTTGTGTTGGTTACTATTGTTTGTGAATCGTGTGCTATTTTTCTTAAAGGGGAGAAATATTTCTCCAGACCTGCTTTTGTCAAAGGTGAGAAGATGAAAGATAAACCCATAAGGCTTTGGGTTTTCAACCTGGGCCCATTTTACATGCGTCTGTCACATGCCTGGCTCCTGTAGGTCTTTGAGAAGGTGAATGTTTACTAGAGGGATGAGAAACACCCGTTGCAATATTGCACACCATAGCTGCTTATTTCAGCAATCATGGCAGACGTCAGAATCGGTCATGGTACCCTTTCCTAGGACGCTTATCAACACAACCCTCCTGGCAGCCATTGTCAAGCTGTCAGTGCTGACAGACAAGACGTGCACTGCCTTCCTTCATCTGGCTCCCCTCGTCTTCCCGAGCTGGGAAAACTCAAGTCATCATTGTAGTCAGAGATGGCACCATGGTGAAACCTCAGGTCCCTTGACTCTGGCACTATTTTCACAGGCCCAACTTATAGGAAATGAAAACCTGGCAAGAGTTGAACTTGTCTTTGGCAAGAGCATCCAATGCACTAGCTGGGCTGGGTTATTACTTCCCGTTCTAACTCATCAAGTAACTTCCCTTCCCTTCCCCAGAGCCTGCCCTGCCCTTCCCCCTGCCCTGCCCTTCACCCTTCCCTCATACGTTCCTATTTCAAATGAATGGTAATAGACAACTGACTCAGTTTACCACTGTTCTGTTCCCCATTTTAACCCATTTTTCCCAAATGGCCTACAGAGTCAGGGGGAGTACTTACGGCACCCTGAGTTTGGGAAACTTCTGGATGTCGTTTTCTGTCAGGTTCTGGAATGAAGACACACGGCAAGGCAAGAGGTTACAACCCACAGGAAGGGCTTTGAGCCAGGTGAGGAGAGTGGCATGTGGAACAAGGAATGGAATAGTGGTGACTGCGGCACACTGACAAACAGCTAGGTTGATGTTTTTAAAGGGAATCTCCAAATCTGGATTTTATGTGAAGTTTCCTGGAGTCTAAATGTTGACAAGTAACTTTGACTTCAAAAAATAAAAAAATGCAGTGAGACCTAAACCTGTGAAACCAAAGAGAATCCATCTTGTGACTGAATTTGGAATCATGACCTCTTCCCTTCACTTTTACCCCAGGACTCAGGGCACTCTCAGCATTCCGGGTGGAGGGAGCTGGTGTCCTTCAAGGGACACAATGGGGCATTTAACGATGTGTTTGTTGGATTTGTGGGATCCAGCTTTTGATGCAATTTCTGACCAGCCCCTTATCAGACCACCTGTGGCAGGGTGGGCAGGGCGAAGGGAGTCAGCCAGAAGTCCTGAAAGAAACAGGCCTTGGCCAAGCTTCTTAACCTCCCTCTTCCTCGGTCTCCTCCTTCACTTTCAGTGGTAGACACTGCTCACCCAGCCCATGTTTCTTGCTTTCTCTCTCTCTCTCTCTCTCTCTCTCTCTCTCCCCCTTTCTCTTTCTCTCTCCCCCTTTCTCTTTCTCTCTCTCTCTTTCTCTTTCTCTCTCTCTTTCTCTCTCTCTCTCTTTCTTTCTCTCTCTCTCTTTCTCTCTCTCTCTCTCAGCATCAAAATCTCCACTCACCAGAGTGACCCTACTGTCAGGGAGGACACTAAGGCTATGTTTAGAGTACGCCATGATGAGCTGAACCTTTCTTGGGGCCTTCCAGAGCGACAACAGCTGAGTCCCGAGGGGCTGGCTACCAGCTTCTATGATACTAGGAGAAGAACAACAGCTGAGGGAGTTCAGGAAGAGGGTGCAGGAGGTGGACATGACCACGATTGGAGGCAGAAGAACAGGGTGTTAGAAAAGACCTTTAAAACAGGGGCATGAATGGTAAGGAGAGACGAGGTATCAAAGCAAGACTCTTGCAGAGTTTTGCTGTGTGAATAACTCCCACCCTTCACTTTCAAAAACCTTCAAACTGGGTTCCTTGAGTGATGATTTTGGAGTTCAACTTGTGATTTTGTAGGAGTACAGTTATATGCTGAGGGGGTTCAGAACTGGGGAACGAAGAGGAGAGGTACCAACCAGGGGTAGTAAATGTGCTTGCTCAAATACTTAACTCTCTGGGTCCCTCACAGATGGTGGTCACAAGGCTCACTGGTGGCCAGTGAGATATCTATAATCAACTGGATGAAGCTTCCAGAAAACTTACTAGTTTTTATCATTTATTTGAGAAAAAGAGGGACACAGTCACTGCTTACTATGCACCTTTTATACCTCACGCTTCACCTTTTCTTCTGCCTGCAGTGTGGACCTGACTCCTAGAGGTGAAGGGGTGATTAGGACAGAAGCCGCGGGTTCTCCACAGGTCAAACAGAGCCTGGATTCCTGGTGACTTCCTCAAGCAGCTCACCAGCCTCGAGCGCCTGCCTGGACTTACTACTCAAGAAAGATTAGCCCTGTGTGTTTAAGCCACTGTCAGGTTTCTGACAGTGATGGGACTACATGCCTTCCCAACTAACACGGTCCTCAAGTTCATTTCCTCCCTTTCTTATTTATACCTTCTGGAAGCAAAGCAACCCCATTTCCCAGCAGACATGGTTCTATTCTTTTCAGTGGAGAAGAAAAATGGCAGCAGGACAGATTCAGGGGACCTCTCAACTCCTGCTTGGAAGGGAAGGAGGGAGGAAAAATAACCAGGACCTTCCATTATTGCTTTCAGCAGCGGAATGGCCCTGGCCATTATAGAACTGGGAGCCATAGTAGACAGGTGTTAGAGCCCAGGAGATCCAAATTGTAGGCGGGGCACTTCTGGAGGAGATGGGTTTCTGTAGAGGCTGTCTTTAAATACCCCATGCTGGGGCAGGCTATATCCAGCACCCAGTCGTTTACCACTAACTCATGTTGCTTCCTGCTCTCCTAGCTTCCCTTGCCTCTCTCCACTTCCTGGTCACAGGAAGCATAGGATAAGCTGCATCCTCTGCAGGGCTGAAAGGCCTCGGAGATTGGAGCAGAGGAGACATAGCTACTCAGATATCAACTCTCAACCAAGGGAACAACTGTCCTACAGCCTGGCGCTCCTTGGGGAGGGTCGGGAGGAGTCACAGAGCTGAGAGGGGTCACCGTTACCACTCTGCCTTTGGACGAGGTGCTCAGTCAACAGAGCAGGGGGAAGGGGAGATTCAGGGAGGGCAACAGGCAACCAGGACTCTCCTCAGAGACCTTCCTCCCTTTCCACTCTACTGTGCTGTCTGTTCTCAGTGCTAATGGCACTGAAGAAACATGCAGGTTTAGTAGTAATTGCAAGAATAGCAACAACAAAACTCCAGGAATTCCATAGACTTGAAGCTCAGTATGATCAAATAATGTTGTAAAAACTCCTATAATTTGGTTACTAGTGCTGTAACTTAGGACAAAAATCATCACACCCCTGTACATGTTTCCTCATCTGTAAAGGGTGGTGAAGACCTTCTTGACAGTGTTTTTCTGAAAAGCACTAGAAGGTAGGAAGGACATCTCTGTCGTTTCAGTATCCCCAGTATATGGCATGATCTGGTATGGAAAGAGAGCTCAAGAAAATGCTTGTCGGGTGAATGGCTGGGAGGATGGCTGACTGAGTGGAGCAGTGAGTTCATATGTGTTACATGGCTCCTAAAAGTAAAACCCAGACCAATCAGACCACAGGTTTAGTCTCAACATGACACTTCAGAAATGCCCAGAAAGGGACAGGTGACCATGGGTGGCAGAAAGTTCATTATTAGTGAATAAACTCAAGCAGATGTTGATGACAGGGATGTAGTATAGGAAATAGATTGGGGTGCTGAGTGGCAAGCTAGAGCACAGGACCTCTTGGTCTCTTCCAACTGGCTGAAGTGCCATAGTCAAACTCCCTTACTGATTGTGACTGACAGGGATGCATAACCTAGCTTACCTTCCCTACTCGGCATCCACACTGGGACTATCTCCTCCCATGAGACCTTGAAGTCCTGTTCAACTTCCGTTTTAAAGAGTGAAGCAAAGTGGCCAGAAGGGATGACTTGGTACAGTCCCAGGCCTCTTTTAGTTCATAGACAGAGGTGTCATTTCCAAGAAATGCTCAACCACCTTCCTGACATCAAATACCTCTGTCTCCACTGTCAGAGTTGTCCCTTTTCTCTTTGATGGTGTGGTCCTTAATGTGCACCTGCATGGTGGTCTTTCACTTAAAGATTTTTTAATTATAATACAGTGGAAATCACACCATCACGTGTGTATTTGGCACAAAGTCAACTGTATGAATTGGTGATGAGAAAGAGTTGGGGTGATGAAGGTGACCCCACCTTTTGTTCCAATGAATATCTGTCCACAGTGAGTGAGGATATCTTGTTCTTGCACAATTGCCACTCCCCACCCCGGGTTTCTCAAAGGACGGATGGTTTGTAGATAGATTTTCAAGATGTCTGTGCATATGCGTGTATGTGTGTGTGTGTGTATTTTAACAATACTTGAATCCCTCCATATAGAGTGTATCTTTGTATCTGTGAAAGAACTGAGAGGGCTCCTGAATAGATTGAGAGGTGGTGAGAGGAGACTCTACCAAACCTCTGAAGAAAACAAAGTGCTGCCTGGAGATCCTGAAGGAACCAGGTAGACCAATAAGCTCTGCAGCTATTGGAAAAAGCACAAAATATCCTTAATTTCAATGTATCAGGTTGGCCAGAGCTTACCAAAAACCGAGCCCCATCAATGTGGTACTTCTTCACTGCCTTCTCACAGTCCCTGTAGTTCAGCTGCACAGAGAAGAGGAAGGTGTTGTAAGAAATGGGCAGGCTCCTGCCATTGGTTCCCCACCCCTGGCTGCCCCAAACCTTAGCAATTTGTGGTACTTGTGGCCGGCCAGCCTCCCCTTTGCCTCCCCACTCTAACAGAGGGGCCTCGTTCCCATCTCAGCCCTGCTTTCACTACTCCTTTGGAACTGTCTAAAATAGAGAAATTGCTCGCTCTAAGGCTTTGGGGCCAAGCCCCAGAAAGACACCACTGTCGAGCAAAGGGCTATATGCTCCCCAGGAGAGTGGACTGGAGCTGACCAAAGAAGACAAAGACCAGCCACTGTCTCGTCCCCCACAGACAACCTTGGTGACCATTGCAATGTGTTCTGCAGTCTTTTGCTTCTAGCAGAAGGGAAGCTGTAATTTATAATCAACCTGTTACCCTGACTTTTTTCTCTTAAATTACCTGAAATGATAATATAAGCACTGCCTAGGATTATGACAAACTTATTTTAAACACGTTTATGGTCACATAATTTAATCAAGTCCACACTACTGAACATTAAAATTTCTCTACCAAACTGTTGTGCCAATAATGACAATAAAATCTGCTAAATGGCAGGCACTCTTCCAAGTAATCAAACCAGACTTAAGTCATTTAATGCAGAGTCACACAACTGGCATGAGATTCCACAGGTTGTGGGGGACAGAGGTGAAAATGGACTTTCAGACTGTGGCTTTCATGTCGGGAATATTCCTTTTTTAATAACAGCATTTCTTACACAGTAAGTAACATGTATAGCTTAACACACCATCTAGGTGGATATAGGGTCATGGATGTTCTCTTGCTTGCTTTTGTTCTGTTTAAGGCAAATTGCTCGACTCAGATTCTCCGACTGGTGTTGTAGGATCAACAGGAAAGAGCATGTGTAGGGTCCAGGCTATCTTCCAACTGATGGGTTCAAAGTACCCATTGCCCCCGTCCTCAACAGGGGCATTCAGACTTGAGGTCTGTGTTTAAGGTTACGTATTTGCCCTTGAGGACTCTAGGTTCTGTGCACGGTTGTGGACCTTGCAGCTTGTGGTAACTTTCTTTGGGGCCACATTTAAAATCATGTTTTTACAACCAAAAATGTAAAAAGGTAAATGCAATTATTGTCACCCCTTGGTTTGGAAGGGTGGCATGAGTGTCACACTCAGGAAGCTGCTTTGGAGGTCAGTGTTGAAAGCAGGCAGCATCTGCTCCTCCTCCCCATCTCTGATCTACATGGGGAGGTAAGCGGCTCTGCAATCATCAACGGCCTTGAATTCATTTTCACTGTCCTCATTAGCAGATGAATCGCAGATTTTGCAGAATGCTGGTTTAGACTCCAAATCAACAGACATCCCTGCACACTGGAACCTAGATGTTTGATTCTGCTTCAGTAAGATGGGGCCTAGGGGCCCTGAATCTGGATTATTTTTTTTAAACAAGCATCCTTGGTAATTCTTATGAGCAGCCAGGTTTGGTAGGTACTGATCTACAGCAGTTACCTGATTTTGTAGAGAGGTTGACTGAGGTCAAGAGAGGAGAATGGACTGGCCTAAGGTCACACAGTCAGTTGGAAACCCAGCTAGGGTTACAAAGCATGTCTATGAACCTGTGAGCATGGCCTAGGGATGCTCCCCTGCCAGGGCCAAAGGACCTGAAGGAGTTAAAGACATATTGAAGGTGGCCTCAGTCCTTGGGAACTTTTAAGATGAGACACATATTTCAGAGCCAGCTAGAAGAGCAGTACAAAGAGAAGATGGACCACTAATTGGGCCTCCTCTTGATGCTGAATGCCTCACACACATTATTTCATTAAGCCTCAAACCACTGCATTTGGTTAGTTTCTGTTAGTAACTCCATTTCACTGCGGAGGAATTTTGAGGCACAGAGAGGTGAAGTAACTAAAGGAAGACCACCAAGCTAGCACATGGCAGAGGCATGAATGAAACAAAGGTGTGTCTCCTTTCAGAGCTGGGTGGGAGGTGTTTTGGACAATGGTCTGACCCCACTGTTTCCATCAACATTGCCACCTGCAGACCCTCCTATAAACAGCTCATTTGGTCACTTAGATCTGTTCTCAAGTGATGCCAGGGTCAGTTCACTCAGTGTTTTCTCTCTGAGGACTGAGGCACTCAGGATCTGAAGAATCTTTGTCCACAGGGGCTGGAACTTCTGGGATCACAGATTTCCCCTCAGCCTCCTTGTTGGAGGTCTGTGGTCATTTTCTGCCAGGAGAGGTGACCTATCCTGGGGCTGTGGCTTTGTATTGAAGTTTGGGATCCCAAAGAAGAAAGCTCTCCCTCACTCCTTCCTCACTCCCCCCACCTCCCCCGCAATTCAGGCAGAGAGATGTCTCCCTGGCTTATGGCTTATCTCCCCATTCTAACTGGAACTCCACTGGTAGGTTCTCTGTTGTTCCACTGGGTTGTGTAATTCTCCTGGTCACACACAAAGATGGGTCCTGTCTGTGCCTCTCAACCCCTCCCCAGACCTTCCCACCACGGTTCTCAATTTCTTTCTTTCTTCCTTTAATGAGTTAACATGCCACTTGATTTCTTCTTCGCTGGTTTCACATTTTGCCCTGACTTACTTGGTTTCCATTTAAGAAATATATTTAGAAACTTTCTTGAAGAGTCAATTTCCAAACAAGCTTTGTACCCACAAGGCTGAAAGGTAAGTTTATGAAGACTTTGGGGAGGAAAAATAACAAAACTGAGGTGCACAAAGAGAACCAAGGAACAGTATCTGTGGGCTGTGCCCCTATCTTGCCATACCTGGGTCAATACACTCACACCCTCTTCTGTGGGTTGGGGAAGGACAGTTGTGATTGTCAACACCTTGACATCTATAGAGTCCAGGTTTGACTGAGTCCTATTCTACCCCCTTTAGGCCTTCAGTTTCCCCCAAAATAGAAAGTGAATTAGATGACTTCTAAGGTCTTAGCTTTCCAGTCTCATTTTTATGACGGTCTGGAATATCAATGGAATCTGATATCAAGCCTACAGGGAAGTTGGAAGCCCAGATATCTCTCTTATAAAGCATCTTACCCCTTGGGCAGGGGTAGAGGACCCTTAACAGTCACACGGCTTGAGACCTGCCCAAGTAGATGTGTTGGCCCTCATTAGCAGAAGACTTAGCACAAGGATCTGGGCGGGGGGGGTAGGGGGCATCTCTTCCCAGACTACAAGGTAGGAGAGTAACATTCTGGTCCCTGCTCACCACAAGCTTGGCTTCTGATCTGCTGAGCTAAGCCTCTTCTCCTCTAGGGGCCTCTATTTCCCTAGCCGTGTCTTGGGGCTCATGTCAGTTTCTGGTCTGCTTCACAGGCCCATGGTAAAGCTCCAATGAGACGCTGACCAATAAAGAGCTTGAGGATCCCTCTTTCAAGGTCATGAAAAATGGAAGTGTCTTCATTTATTCTGGCCCAATATCCATCCCTCAAGCCTGTCTGGTCTTTCTCCTGCCCCAGGACCCAGTATCTCCCTTTCTAGTAAGTAGCCTGAATGACCATCAGTACTTCTTGCTACTCTCTGCCTCTTGGAACGTGCATTCTAAACCAGACAGGCATGGTTCAAATCCTGCCTCAATTCCACATCGTCTCTAGGGCTTTGGCTCATTGAACCCCATGAGCTGATTTTGCAGCTGAACCAACAACAATATTGAACTCACGAGGGAGTAGGGTGTATTCACTGGACACTGCCTGTACAGCACCAAACTTCAGATCTTGACACACACATCCTTCTCGATGGAACTCATTGCCAGGAAGAGTCATCGATCTGCAAACTCGGCAGCCTACACAACAGTCCCTCAACCAGTAAGGTAGCTGTGGGTGGTTCTTCCATCACTGTCTCTTACGTCCGTGTCCTGTCCTGATCTGATCTTCGTGTCCCTGCCTGGCCCACTGAGCGCTCAGCAGCCCAACACTAACAAGAGAGCAAGGCTTACCTTCCTGAAGTAATCAGCAAGGCTGTCAGGGTCCCAGGCCAGAACCTCTGAGCGGAAGGGCACATTCCTTAGGGCCATGGCTGCTGTCCTGGGAGAAGCTCACAGGCAGGGCGTAGTCACTGCACCCATCGACAGAGAAGAACCCCAAATCCAGGGCTTGAAGCGTCCTCGGCTTTTCCAGTGTGGGAGCACAACCTTCTGTGCCGTAGCCAGATCCCAGAAAGCAACAGCTTCCTCTGCACACAAATATGGTCTCTTCTCAGAAGACGACTCAGCGGGTTTCCTCTACCACTTCCTCTGCTGACTTCTAAATAAGTAAACAAGGAAGCCCAGCTCTAAGGGCTTGAAATGCAGACAGAGATGGGGTTGGTAACTTGCCCCAGTCACCCCAGCCTAGTGGGAGGGGCAAAGAAGGGGACTTAAACTCCGATGTCAGCCCAAGTATTTTCCACTATAACTCCTGGCTCCTAAGGTGCCTCAACCACACTCCTGCTTGGCCAATTTTTATTTGGAAATAAAAATCTGTCCTGACCACTGCCCTGAAATAGAGTCACTTTCCCACCTTGGTGAATAATGGGAGAAGGGAACAGTCTTTCGGTGCCTTCCAACCTCCTTTCACCCACCCTCAGTCTCCACAGAGAGATGGGATGTCTCCTGTTGCCTCCTCACCACTGGGTGGGGGGAGAGGGTCCTCGGTGACAAGTGAGTCAGGCACCCAGGGTTGAGCAACGCAATTCAGAAGAGAGAACTGGGCTCGATTCCTCATGTGAACAGTTCTGTGTTCTACAGTCTTAGGCAAGGACCATCCCAGTTTCCATATTTGCAAAGCAAGAAAACAGAGGAATTATAGAACTTAGATGCATTTAACTAGACCTACTTAAAGGGCAAATGTAAAGTTACAATTGCTATGGATCTACCATGTGTTCTATTCACTGTTTTCAACTTATATTCTCTTTACTAACTGATACTACAATCTTTTCTCCCCAAAGAGCATATTCCTTGGTGGTTGGAGATGGGATCTGCTGGGTTCTTCATCTGTCTCAGCCTCTGTGCACTTCTCAGACTCGGCAACTTGATAGCAAGGGTGAGTCCTGTGTCACCCTTTCAAGGGTGAATACTGTGGTATATTAGTGCAATATGGAAGTCTCTTTTTTTTTTTTTGTCTTTTCTTTTTTTGGTGCTGGGATCGAACCCAGGGCCTCACGCATGCTAGGCAAGCGCTGTACCACCGAGCTCCATCCCAGCCCATTGAAGTCTCTTAACACGATAACTTCTTCATCCAATGCTACAAGTGTGTACACACACCGCTCTCTTCTAATGTTTCAGGAAAGAATTAAACCATGTGCCCTACTGAATGATGCTCTGCTGGTGTCCAAGTAGTGCCTTCCTGAGGTTTTTCTAGGGTCTTTGGTCATGCATGGTTTCCATCTTACCTATTGGTCCCTGCTGTGGTATAGGGTACCTGTCTCATTACCTAGTTATGAGCTTAAATGAGATATGCATTTAGTGTCAGGCCCAGCTCCTGGAAAGTGGCCCATAATAGTGACACTGTTAGCCTCACCTCAGATGGTGCTGGCAGCATCAATCAAAATAGACTAGGTCTAAGTGCTCCTCACAGGGTGCTGTACCTAAGAGTGCTCAGTAATCCATCATAGAGCACAGCCCTGCTTTGGAAGCTTCCATACTGGTAAGAGATGTCACTCCATTGGTCAAAACATCATCAGGATAACCGTTTGGAAATTGAGAGAAGGTAGTTAGTACAGTAATCAAAGAAGAGGTCGTGAAGTTAACTGATATTCAAGCAAGACCTTTGAGGATGGAGTAGTTGGAAGGGAATTCCAGACCTCAGTCAATCACCAATCAATCAATGAATCAATGTCTCTCACTCAGTCTCAAAACACACAGCATCTGTGGAAAGGAAGATTTCAGATCACCTTAAAAAAAATATATATATATATGTATATGTGTGTGTGTGTGTGTGTGTGTGTGTGCGTGTGTGTACACACACACCACCCCAACTCCGGAGGGGAAAACTCTAAGGAAGAGCAGAAGTTGGAATGAAGATATTATTAAAATATTTTGTCCTTTGGAAGAATTAGCCAGTAAATGTGGGCAAGGTGAAGGGCCCATGAGGTTCAGTGAGAAGGTCGTCATGGTAGGTCAGAAACATGGATGACACTGGTGATTGTGATCCTGAGAGGAAGACCTGGGTTCCTCCTCTGTGCCAGGGACTAGGCTGGGGACTCCACACTGACTTCTCACTGTCACTGGGCTCCTACCTCACAGCAGAGAAGACAGGTCGGGAAGCTGAAGGTACTTGTCTACTTCCTACATCCTGGCCAAGTAGTTTACACAACCAGGTCTTGTCCAAAGTGTACCTGAGTCCAGAGCCCCTGTCCTTTGCCACCTGCCCCCTCAAGGCTCTGAGATGTTATTTGCATTGCCTACAGTGAGTCAGGATTCAAACCCAGGTCAGTCTCCAGTGCCCATGTGACTCCACATTAATTCATGGGGGCAGTTTGTGGTCTGCTTCCCATGACAAGCTGTGAATTGTCCATCTAACCTAGCTTGGAAATGTCTAACACACTTTGCACTGGGCAGGCATCTGGCGACCCTCCCCATGGGACCATGGCCATTCCTCTGAAGGGGCAGCTGGGGACAGGCAAGGAAGCAGGTTGCTTCAGACCTGGAGCCTTTCCTCTTCCCCAGCGCCCGGGGATTTCCCAATGCTCATGAGTTTCACATCTCCTATCTATAGCCCAGGGCTCTAGAAGCTCCCATGACAGGGTCTCTTAGGCCCCAGGCAAAGCTCAGGAAACCGGGAGGATCAGAGTGACCCTGGGTCAGCCAGTTCACTTGACACAGACTCAGTTTCCCTGCCTGTAAAATGGGCAATCGTAAGAGCAGCCTCTGGTTATAGCCCAGACAGCTGGGGGAGCGGTCATGCCAATATAGTGTGGTTTTAGGCATTAGTGTGTTGCCTGGAGCATGAAGAAGCACAGAGGGCAGGGACCAGGTGAGGCCCAGAGACTTAAAACAGTGAGTCCCTTATGGTAGGGATACCGTGCCCATCCTGTCTCTCTCCTCCAACCAGGGGGAGAAACTCAGAGTTATGAAGGAACAAGGTGAAAGGTTAGCGAAGGTCTTCATAGACTTTGTAATTCCTTCAGAATCTTCAGGGGATTGGTTCCAGAACCCTCCACAGATACTGAAATCCAAGAATGACTTAGTCCTTTATACATAACCCATGCACATCCTTCTGTCTACTTTAAATCATGCCTGATAGAACCTAAGTGCTGCAAATGCTTTGTCAGTACTCATTACACGGAATTGTCTGGGGAATGAGGACAAGAAGAAAAAACTACCCACGTTCAGTGTAGAAGCAATTTCTTAAATATTTTCCATTTGCAGTTGGTTAAAGGCGCAGACATGGATGCCCAGCTGTATGCTCAAGGTTAGGAAGGAGCCACAGTCCCTGGTATCATAAGAACAGCAGTGAGCTAGGACACAGGGACAGGGTGGACAGAATAAGGAGCAGGCAAGTAAGCAACACTATCAGAGAGTGACATGTCATCATTGGAACCCAGGGACACAGCCTGGTTGTGGGAGGAGCAAATTGCAGACCATGGTGAGGAACACCTGATCATCTCCCTCCTCCTCCACTCCCCCAAGTCTAGACTCGCACACTCACACATGCCCAATCGCGTGTGCACGTGCAGTCCCCTTTCCCTCTACCCCGCAGCAGAATTAGGTGGGTGGGCACAACCACATTTCTTCCCAGTTAATTTCAGAGGTGAGGAAAGCCATCATCCATTAGGAGACACTTAGGATTTGCAGCTCCTGTGTGTGGCCATAGGGTGAAGGGATCTGGGGTGCTGCTGCCTGGAGACATGGGAGAAGGAAAAGTAGGGACCTCTTAGCTGAGAATGTGTTGACCCTCTCAGGAGAAGAGCCTAAGGAGGTTAGAATGGTAGGTGGGAACAGGCAGTATTTAGATTTGATTTGGACAGGTCTTGCTTGACTGGAGGAGAGAGAAAAAGATGTGTGAGGCCCATGGAGGACACTGACCAGTGTGACGCAAAGAAAGGGTGCCTCACATGCGCTCCTCCCTGCCTCACTCCCTGTGGATCCTCATGGCCTGGACTTACCACTCGAGGCTGAGGTTAGTGCCCAATGGAACTGTCTGGAGGGTCATCGTGGGTTTGCCTCTCGGAGGAGCAAAATTTTATCTGTCATCCTCACAGGGGGCATTCTGAAAGGCCAAGGGTCCCACCCACACAGGAAGGTCCAGTGGAATGAGGAAAGCCAGGAAGGTGGCCTGAAGAGTTCTGCCAAAAAGGGAGATACAAAGAGCACCTGCAGCCAGTGACCAAAGCACAAAATGCCCTTCTGAAAAAGCGTGCCAGGCAGTGCAGGGTCTGCCTCCCAGACAGCTACCCCAAATGGGGTGTCCCAGTGCTCCTGGAGGCTGTGGAGTGGGAGATGGTGGGAAGAGAGTGGTAGCCCAACCCTTCTCCAGACCATGTCCACCCTGTCTCCACCGCCACCCACAGCTTCCTCCCGCCCCAGCCTGGACGCTGTCCTTACGTCCCCCATCCTGGGATAATGTGTGAGGAAAACATGAGCCAACCACTCTAAACAGGGCAAGAGGAGCAATAGTTTCCACTTCCTCCAAGCTGACAATTTCATTCTTTGAGATTTTTTTTTTTCATCCCCTGGCTCTGCTTCTCTTGCTTTGCTGTTTTAGCTCAGGGGCCTCAGAAGTTCAAAGGTGATGAGAGGAAGTACTTATTTGGACTTCTTGTCAACCTCCCCTCCTTGTCTGCCCTATTTTTCACTTTGGCAGCCTGAACTCAGAGAGAGCTGCTGCAGAGAGAAACTCCCCAAGAGCCAGAATGGGTGGGCGGATGTGGGCAAGGCCAGAAGGAGGGAAGGTAGTCTGTTTAGCTCAGTAGAAGAGAAATCCTTGCCTTCCTCCTCCAAGCTTGAAGCAGGGTAGAGTTGGCAGGAGGGGGAGGACAGGTGCCAGAGTAAAAAGCCAAAACAATTCAACCCCCGGTCCACAAAGGCAAACATGACCAAGTCCAGCTGTGGTCTGGGATGTGCATATGTGATCCCAAGGCAAAGAATAGATTTGCAATAAAAAGGAAAAGCAGGGTTCCAGGTTAAGGCAGGACAGTCCAAAGAGCCTTCCAGGTGCTCATCATCCCTTCCACAGGGACTCCAGGTTTGGAGAAGAAATGGTAGGTCCTCACTTGTGTGATAGCATGAAGCCCACGTAACC